CACACACACACACACACCCCATCCTCACCCCCTGTAATGAGCGCTCTATACCGCACTCAGACGGAGCTCAGCACATGGGCACCCCTGCCCGTCCTGCCCGTCCTACCCGTCCTGCCTCACAGTGCCGGCACCCAACACTAACACCTCGCAGTGGCGAACAGCAACAAACGTTTACTCACTTCCTGCCGCCGCACCTCCCGCTCCGTGTCTGACTCTCTTTCTCAGTTCTTCTCAAGTTCAAGTTCCTCAGTTCAAAGGCAGGATTCTCAAAGTCTCTGTCCGTCCAAGTATTTGCCAGGAGAAGCGTCCCACCCTTTCTTCCTGCACCTGCCAGGAAAAAAAACACCTGTATCCAGAGGCACCAGCCATGGAGAGACAAGTAGGAGTGACTCCAACAGAGATGCGGAAGCAGACCCATCTTCCAGGCACTCAATCCTCTCTCCAAGGTGAAAGTCAAACCCCCTCCTTGCCCCCCCCAAGGCAATTCGACTTGGGTGGGGGGGGGGGCAATACCTGTATATACCTTTAACAGGGATTAGTGGTGCAACCTTGAGACCTTTACGTCTATTCAGTCCAAGGCTCCACACTAAAGGTTCTTTAAGGATAAAGGTGGGTCAGGGAAGGGTGGCGTGAGCTGGGTAGAACCAGGCACCCCTTAACTGAAGTTCTGCTGAAATGAAGTGGATAGTGTGTGGCTCAGTGGGAGACGGAGCGAGAGAGAGAAAGAGAGAGAGAGAGGGAGTGAGGGAAACAGCAGCCCTAACCAGTGCTGACAAACCTGCCAACTGGAAAAGCAGCTCAGCCCAGCTGCCTTTTATGCACTGCAGCACAGTGACGGAGCACCAGCTTCTCCCCTTCTCAGGGAATGAATATGTCATTATTCACACAAAAGCACTGGTTATTGTTTATGAATTACCAGCCTTCCAGACAACAAAGGCTATTTTCATAAGAAAACTCCATTTGATTTCAGTTCCACTTTGAATACCAGCTGAAGAAAATGGAGTCTTTTGGTCAAAACCCAAAGGACCTTCTTTTTAATTCATGTCATTGAATGGGCTTTATTTTTCTTTTCAGAGCTGACACGGAAAGCTTTTAGAGTGAAACATTGACGAAAAATTATCACGCCACTATTTTGTGCTATAAAAGGCTTTAAAAATGACATTGAGTCCTTCACAGTCTTTTGATAATATATATTTTTCTTTTTTTGGCAAATTGCAACGTCGAAACATTAATGACAGGTAGTAGATGGGGAGGGGGCATCTCAGGCCACACAATGCATGTCAAATCTAAATGATTACTAGCCACTGAATAGAGATGCTGAAAAATAGATGGGGGTTTGGCAGTGGGGTGGTGAAGGGGGGCAGGGGGAACCTACTGCCGATTCATGAAAGACATCTTGATACATTCAATGGCCCTGCAACCAGCTTGTGAAATTTTGACATCTAAAGCAGAAAGCTGTCACCTTCTCCCCTGAACAAAAACACCAATCTAACAGGAGGACAAGGAGAACGAGGCGCCTTTTGAATCCACACACTCGCAAAATATATATATATATATGTAGTGAAAGTTTTCTTATTGAAACTGCTACCAGTTAGTTAGTAGGGCACCTTTACGTGTGTTAAAAAGTGTTACTGAATTGCATTGTAGACATATGAATGACACATGAACACTTAAGCTGTTGGCTGAGGTTATTAATTCTCTGTGTGGGGTGGTGAGATCACTGTAAAGGTAGAATACTCTCACATAGCAGTTAGAATGAACTTACTCTCACATAGCAGTTAGAATGAACTTACTCTCACATAGCAGTTAGAATGAACTTACTCTCACATAGCAGTTAGAATGAACTTACTCTCACATTGCGGTTAGAATGAACTTACTCTCACATTGCAGTTAGAATTAACTTACTCTCACATAGCAGTTAGAATTAACTTACTCTCACATTGCAGTTAGAATGAACTCCAGTTCCCTTTCATCTGCTCCCAGAACATCATTTACATAGTTTTAATGCTTTAATGCAGTGGAATATCACATAGTTACACACTATCGTTGAAGGGACAGTGTAATACAGCTCTCTGTATTATACTAAATGTGCAGATAACCTGTTATTGTGTTAATTTAGGAGATTATTATATGTATATTAGTCTTTGTTTTGTTTAATAACTGCTAACCTACTTTGCCAATGTGGCTGAATTTTGGTGATGTGCCACAACCATGGAGATCTTTGGTTATTATATCAAAAAACAAGCAGAGGCAAATTTCATCAATTTAGAGTAAAAAGGTAGATTTTAAGCAGCACACACTGGTCAACGAAAAGAAATGTGTCAATTCTGCGAGGGAGTGAGGAGAGTGCAAATCTGAAAGTTCTGGTGGCTGAGTGTTCTGTGTCCTTCATGTTAAAAGAGGAGGCAAACAAACACAGTGCAAAACAATTATACACATCACAACTGACCGTAGAAGGAATCCCGGTTTGCTAATGTTATATTTTCAGTAAAAACACACATGTATAGTGACCATAGAAACTTCAGAAGCACAAACTCAAAGCACTGACATAAAAGCCACTGAAAAACTGCATTGACACACTTTACCTAAATGACCCCACAAGAGTCATGTGACACCCCTCTGCTTGCAGGAAAATAGGATGGCACTAAATACATAAATGTTTTAGTTTGCAGACGGAACACTAAGGACAGTGACTAATGGCAAGGCCAAGATCGTCATTTCTGGTAATATGTAAGTTGTTCCTACAAATACTTTAATGATAGAGAAAAACAAAATATAATACCGTCTTTCTAACAGAAATTGGTGGAAAGTCTTGTATCTGTCTTGAGTTGGTGACTTAGGACAGTGGTACTGTAAAATACTGTTCATTGCTTGGAATAAAGATACTTTATTCATGGCTACAGATGTCCCATGACTTTTGACTGGATGGTGTATATGTTGAAGATAAATCAAGCAGTCTTATGTTTGGGTCCTGTTTTATATTAATGTAGAAATATTTTACAGGAGACAAAAGGTGACATTCATTATACATCGGAGCGCAGGGCCTGTGTGATAATTGGCAAAGGCTGGCATTTTAGGTTTTTGCCAGCTCCAGCAAAATGACGTCCTTTGTACTGTAAAATAATAATGTGGAGTTTTCATCCACGAAGGAATGAAATTGCCTTGTCACTTTAATAAGACTTACATACACATAACCTTCACCATTTACAGCGGTGGGAAAAGACGAGAACGGCAGTGGTGCCCCTCTCTTCCCGGCCTGTTTTCCACTGGCTTTCCAATTAGTCTGCAGACTTGTTTTTCCCAGACTTTTGGCACCAGTTAGCCTCGGGTAACTGGAAAACAGCAAATCCACAACTTGCACTCGAGCAGAAGTTGGCCAATAGACGTTAGCAGATTTAGGTCCAGTCCTCTTTCTAATCTCCTTTCCCCAGTGGGGGATTTCAAGCTGTGAATATACTCAGGAAACACAATGGCCAGCTTGGCCTTGTTGGTTTATGTTTTTCTACAACGGGACACCATGTAATTACTTGTGTATAAGGAGGAACGGCATCAATACGAAAGGCAGTGGAAGAAAATACTGCAAATGGCTTAACAGGCACTGCAAGTACTTCAAAGGCAGTAAGGCTAAAGAAACAAAAGCTGCATGTGTAGGCCGAAGGGAGTTTCGGGTGGGGGGGGGGGGGGGCTTTCCAACCAGGAGTGTGAAAACTTAACATTGGTCCTTCACAATGTTCTTGGCGAAAGTATGGATGCAACAAATTAACAGACACCAACCCTCCAGATTCGACTCCCAAAGCTCAAAGGTTGTGAATATTTCATTGTGGCGTTTACCTGAAGTCTCTCTGGATTTGGTCCACATCTTTAGGAAGCAAGGATGTGACGTTCCAGGACGAGGCCGTCTGAAGAGTAACACTTATGGTGGTTTCGCTTGCATGAGGACAGTTTCCTTCCCGATCACAGCGTACATGGTAATCAGGACCATACCCAGGCTGCCGAGGGGGCCCAAGGTGACATTATGACATGGTAATCAGGACCATACCCAGGCTGCTGAGGGGGCCCAAGGTGACATTATGGCAAAGGGCCCCAGAATTCCTTGCTACACCCCTGACAGTTATCACGATGAAATTAGTTTTTTTCTTTACTTTTTTTTGCCTCAGTCGAATGATGGGACTTAGGACACCTCAGAAGGACATAACAGCACCAGCTTCCAGATCTTTCTGCAAACTAAGGAAGCTGACAGAAAGCGTTTGAGACCTCGTCAGCGGCACAGCGGCATCACCGTCCGCATCTTAAATAAGCCCAGACTTGCAATAAATGACAAGAAGAAGCTGCACGGACAAAGACAGCAATATTGCCGTCCAAGATGAGCGCTTACCTGTTTGGGTACCTCTGCGATGTGACAAAGCGCCGCTGCAGCTCACATTTTCATTCGCCGTTTGTGGCTGTCGCTTTGTTCTGATGCTAATGTCTGCTGGATGCTTTTCTTCCTGCAAATGTCACTGTTGCCTTTCCACAGACAAAAGAAACCCGTCTCACTATGGAGAGACATTCGCCTAGTGATAAAAATCTTCAAATGAAGCTCGGCCCCCTGGGGCATGACAACATTTATGGATTAAATACATTATTCATTATTAAAATAATAACAGGAAGAAGTGAGAAACTAATGCTGAAGTGTTAAGGGGTGTATTTTATCATAGTGATTTTAGCTTTTTGTTACATGTCACTACAAGGGACTTGAACTTCCAACATTTTGGTGGAAAACACCTTTATAAAAAAAGTAAACACACAAACCGATTAACTTAAACACTTGCAGATTACCCAGGTTTAACAAAGTTATTAGCCTAGAGATACCTTACTAGGGTTCATATTAGCAACATGCTAACACTCCTGACAAGATGACAGCTTGAGAGCCTTCGGAAAATGATTTGCCAGACAAACTGAAGGTAGATAGAAAAATCTTTGATGCAATGTGTCTGAAATTACTGTACTTTTCTAAATAAGAATGGCAACCAAAATAGGGCTTTATTTACCGTTTTAATTCACAGAAACAATACAAGTTAGTTACTGAGAAGAGTTAAAAAATAAATACAGTGGTTGTGGAACAGTCCTCAGGTGACAATCTCACCGGACAATGGAAGCATATATTTCATAGTACATTGAGGCATTCTCACCATATGGTCTCATTTAAATATGTAACACATGATACCAAAACTGAAAAAAATCATCAAAATATTTGATAAGTAGCTTAGCATTCATGTTTTTAATTTCAGTCTTCTTGTGCGAACAGCCCGGCACAGGAAAGGAGCCCGAACATCGCGTATAAAACCTTAAGACTTCCAGAAAGTCGAGCGATTTTTAAAAAAATCCATTTGAAAAGGCACATTATTGACATTATTTACAATATAAAGGTACATATATGTGCCTGTCCCGTATTAAAGTGTACAAAATAAAAGATAACAGGCGCATACCAAAGCCTCTGAAAAAAGAAAAAAGAGGTACAAAACAAATGAGGTAACGCCTTGAAAACGTTTACCTGCGTACTGTTCACCTGAAGTCTGTCCTCGATGTTGTATTGCTGTGTTTCCATCGGGGGGAAAATAAAATGGAAAAAAAAATCATCATGAGTCTTGGCTTTAAGTTCCCATGAGGTTTAGTGTGACCTTGCTGGGTAAAGGCCGTGACAGCCTAGCAGGTACCATACAGCTGGTGTGAACCCCTGATCTCAAAAATAAGACGTTTAGCATCTGCTAAGTGAATGGTGCCCAGTGTTTGCTGCAGCTGCATCTGGAAGAGAGCATTCAGGATGGACACAAGGAGCAGTTATCAGGAGCCTCAGCTTCTGCCCTAGCTTCTGGTCCAGGTTACACCAAGGATTTGGCACCACGGGTCTTTCCCGGTGTTCTGTCAATCCCATCCGGCTCCAGCGACCCAGGCCTCACAACCACAACAAATCAACTCGCTAAGTTCACAGCTTCAGTCAGGCATCTAACCTGGTTGCAAACCAGCTGCTCTCAGATCTACAGCCTGGTGCATTTTTGTGTGATTTGTAGTGTTCTATGTAAATTGGTTCCCATTGTGTTTTTTTAATGGTTAGACAGGTCAGAGAATAATAATCAACTGGAAATTAAGGAGACCTCCTTACAAATTGGTCTCGTCCCAGGAAGGATCATTCATGTTCTTTAATACTTTCCTCACAACCTTTTCCAGGTCTTTCCAGGCTCTTTGTTCCTCCTCCAACGTCCTCTTCATCTTCTTATTATCCTGCATGGAGCAAAAAGACACCACTGAGCCACCGCTGCCCACATACAGCTTAGAGATCACCTGAAAGACACAATCAGTCCCACTTGTGTATGAATATACAACTATGCCTATGCAATGCAGGTCAAAGAACAGCAAGACACACATAGTGTTAATCCATAACGAGGTACCTCAGAGGCTCACATGTCAGAAACCTACCAGTTTCAGTTCTTGGACTTCATCCTTCAATGCGTAAACTGTGTCGACTAAGCTCCTTAAAAGCAATTTAAAATACATTCATCATACATTGAAGGAAAGTATGAAAAGCAGAAAATATTACAATTGAAAGTCACAAAGTTTAAACAAAGAGGCATTGTGTCACAAGGCTGGGCTACCCATTCATAATATAGCAATATCTCTGTCATTCTCAAAGTAATGATTTTATTGTTAATTATGATATATTTGCATGGCAAATGTCAAGATCACTATTAAAGGTTCTCCACCACAGAAGAATCTTGAGGAGCGTTTAAGGGTCCTGCAGAATTAGCTAAGATGGACAATGAGGTGTATCTAAAAGGCCGGAGACTTCTTGTGGATTCAGTGGGGTCTGTGGCTTCAACCAATCAGCTACCACATTCAACCAACCAGCTACCACATTCAACCAATCAGCTACCACATTCAACCAATCAGCTACCACATTCAACAAATCAGCGACCACATTCAACCAATCAGCGACCACATTCAACAAATCAGTGACCACATTCAACAAATCAGCTACCACATTCAACCAATCAGCTACCACATTCAACAAATCAGCTTCCACATTCAACCAATCAGCTACCACATTCAACAAATCAGCTACCACATTCAACCAATCAGCTACCACATTCAACCAATCAGCTGATCAGTTAAAACCATCAGTGGAATATAGCAAGGACTCAGCTATTCATGTCATGAACCAATTTCCTACAAGGTTTTAGCTTTAATTAGTTTCTGATTCAGGGATGAGATGCCTTTTGAGGTTATTTAGTAACCCCACCACCCTAGGATGGAAAGTAACATCGCCACCTGCAGGTAAAGTCAGTGGTTTCTGGACATGTGACCCCAGTCAATAAACAACCATCTCAAGCAAAGTCTGAGTGATGCTGCAAGAAAACTATGACAGACTCCCCACCCACTTCAGTATATCATATGGAACATATGGACTTACTTCTCTTCAATCACGGTTTGACCGTTGCTTTTGGTCTCTTCTACAATAATCTTCTCTTCCTCAGGAAATAGCACATGAGGTCCACACTCCTTCCTAGGTCCTGTTTCAAAAGAAGAGAGCGCTTTTTGTTTTTGGTTTCACCTCGCCGGCCACTGACTGGTTGACTCACCAAGTCGACCGACCACTTTCGCTTTGCTCAGTGCTGCTTGCAGGGGAAGCTTCACGATGTCCAACCCAGAAAACTGGGTCATCGTGACAAGCCAGTGATGGGGAATTTCATGCAAATGCTTTTTAGAAGTACAAATCAAAGCACAACTCTGTACCCGTAAAACTGTTTTTATACCGAGGGAATGACAACTTTTCGATTTAAATTGCACTTTTGACAACAAGAGAAAAAAAATGTTTTTATTGGTACCTTGCGGAACGAACAGATCGAGTGATTTCTCTAGCTTCCAGTTTTATTCACAAAACAGTGAAGATATGAGCTTCTTTACTCTGTGCAAAAGACCATACCTAGAGCACACTGTTCACACGATGCCATCGACCGCGTCATAGACACTGAGTGATCCCGAAGACCAATGAATCCACGTTGTTGGGAAGGAGCCCCCCCATAACAAACAGGCATACATTTGGCCTGGCATGGTCACAACTGGTTATAGTCACACAACAGGGCAAGCAAGTCATACACAGCAATAGGTTGGAGTCCATCGAGACACAGATCCAACACCTGTAGAGCCGAAAATACACCAAAATATACACTTACAATGAATACAGAAGTTACAGTACATGTCAAATGTTGCATTTGGTACCTGATAAAAATAGACCCAAAGCTTTTTCTAACAATCATTAAGTACCACAGGACATATTTATTGAAAATGTATATTACAATGTTTTTTTTTAATGTACTCAGCTCTATATCTCAGACACTTCATTCACACCATACCAACTAGACAACAGGTTCAGAATCAATATGCATCACATACAAATAAGGTAAAGAGGCAGTTTGCTTTTTAAAAAATCAAGGAATGACTCCATCACACAAAAAAAGAATTGCACAATAATTAAGACAGCCTTTTTCTGAAATACCATGTTGGGCAAGACAGGTGTTTGCTGCGGTATAAGCTATATACAGAAAGCTAGGTAAAGGCTGTGTATGAAAACCGCTGATGCCCAAACACGGCTGAATACCACGCCGTGGAGATGGGTACGGTCGTCACTGGGAGGGATCCCACGTCAACGCCCTACAGAGGAGCCAGCTTTCCACATGCAGACCACCTTACAAGGTGCTCCTCTTTGCTTACGAGTCCATTCGACTTCATCTCTAAAATTACCACCACATTTGAAGCTTTGGTTTCAGGATATACTGACCATAATGGCAGAGACTATAGATCTCCACAGTTAATACCTCACTGGCCGCCCCCTGTGAGCTCAGTATAAATGATCAAAACACTTTAATGCCTTCATACCATCCATGTTCATCAAACATTTACTCATGATTCAGACTAATACTGCAAAGTAACATGGAAACATCTTTAGTGGTAGTTTAAAGTAACTTAAGAAATGTAAGCAGTACAATCCTTGTGTATTGGGGGTGAGTGGACAATTTGTCAAATACACTATTATTAGTATGAAACACTAAGATGATGAATATATCCCCTTTTACTGAAGTTTAAATAATAAATTTCTACACAGTACTCAAATAAATACACATAATAACATAAATAATGAAATAATGAATATGAATTAATGATAATAATTAGTTCACCAAAAGGGTCACCTTTTCCGTAATGGGGAAAAATGATAGTAATCATGAGCAATGAATCATTCTCACACATTCTTCACAACTAATATTCATCTAAATCAGTTCATGCGAAACCTTGGAAAGGGGTTCATAGGATACAATGATGTCGCAATATAAAGCCTGACTGGGGCTTCTCTCTGCGTGCACCTCACAGCTGCAGAAGCCTAATCTGCAGAGCATCTGCTTAGGTTGAGTTTTTTAAAACCCCCACTGTCAGTTTCAGCATTAATGCTCTAAAGAAAATTCCTACATAGAAGATTCCGCATTGATGAACTACCATTCCGACACTTTGGTGCGTTTCCCTGAGAACGTCACAAACAACCTTCTTCTTTCAAGTATCAATTCACTCAGAGGCTGCTGACTTGGTCGCTTGGTAACGAGACTGTCACTGAAGTGCACATCTAAATAATGGTGACATTTATTACGTGTCCATCCACAACATTTACGTTATTTCATTGCCTTGCACTATAACGGTACTAGTGTAAAACTCAAGCTTCAGCATATGTAAAACCACTTACCAGTAAGTGAAATGAAGGCTTTTGTCCACAGAACACCACACAGTCCTCAACCGAATTAGCCTCATGCAATTTAAACACCGATTTGTTAGCGAAATTATACAGCCATAAACACACTTTGGTCACAATTTTCCACGCTTAGGCTGGTCGTTGCAATAAAAGCTTTTTTTTTTTTTAAATCAGAAATAAGGGTAGAGACAATCAAAAAACCAAACTGACAGACAGACAGACAGACATATAAAACAACAGACGTACAGACAGATAGACCAACAGACATACAGACAGATAGACCAACAGACATACAGATAAAGACTGGATAGAGCACTGTAAATACAGACTTCAGCACAACAATTAGAGAAAAGAATTAGAGGAATGACCCCCCTAAAACAGAAGTTAGCAGAGCAGGAATTAGGTGAAGAGAATCGTGCCCATGTGTGTCGCCCCATTCAGAGGCCCCGTGTCCGTGTCTGATATATGCACACACAGAAAACTGAGGCTTCGGCTACACATTTGAACAGCCAAATATTTTCCCAGTCATATACAAAATTACAACTGGTGTGAAAAATATTTCCGCATTAGAATTAGTAATCAGGATAATATCTCTTGGGGGGTTCGTTTTTGAGGTGGACTGTAATAGATTGGGGGAGGGGACACTGTGTGTGAATATATACATTTACATGCAGGTGAAATAGTGAGAGAGACAGACCACACTTCTCTGGGAACAGAGTCTGCCGCTTCTGAAACTACCCTCTGAACGCACATCTGAATATCAGACACAGCGGGATCAATACCACTTCACCCTTTGTTGTGCTCATAACAACATGGTGGGGGGGGGTGTTTCTAAAAATAACAAAACAATTCTGACAACTGCAGAGAAGGTGGCGTGGGTGGGGGGGGGGGTAAACAAAGCGAAATAGGGATGCTAAGGGGGTAATAGCAGCCGGTCAACAGGGTTTAAAAACAAGATTAATTAAGCCATACCTCAATATAAAATATATAATAAAGTCAAATGGAGGGGTTTAGTTCTGATGTGAGATGTATGAGCAGCAGCTCTTACGGGATGTGGAACCCATTCTGTAACTGTGGGCTGTCCATATACTGTCATGGTCAGAGTCTTCAGACAGGTCAGAGGTCGGCTCCGGGCGGGAGAGGCTGCTGCGGGGGCCCAGCGAGTCCACGCAGGACTCGTCATCGGCCAGCACGTGGTTATGCATCAGGTCAGTACCCTGCCATGCTGGGGGGGGGGGGGGGGGAGGGGACCGATACAAACCGGGATGGGAATCGGAGAAGGGGAAGGGTTTGGCAAAAACCAAAAATTTTGAAGGAATTTGATGAGGGTCGGGGTGGGGGGGTTCAAAATAAAAAAAGCAGGGAGTACAAAATATATAAAAATGGGATGTGACAGGGAGGGGTGAACCCCCACCAGAAAATAATATATATGACCAAATAACAAAGGAGGAACAACAGAATAGAACAACGCAAGAGAGTGAAGGGAAAAAGAGGAAGAGAAACACAATTAGGCGTAAATCCTACTTACTGCGGATTAGCTACGTCACTGATCGAAAGTTTGGACACACCTGCTTATAATGCATTTGTCTCTATTTCAGTTAAGTTACCCACCTTATACTATAAGGCCCCGAGGCTTTGAAGTAATACACATCAAATACTGCTATGACCAAGGGAAGTGTTTAACGTCTCAAAATTTGACTCTTCTACTCCAACAGTCCTGAAGGAATTTCCACAATCTCTGGGCTCATGTTGGCTACCTTGTGCTTACTCTTTGAGCCCATAGAGCAGGGGTCTCCAACTCCGGTCCTGGAGAGCTACTATCCAGTAGGTTTTCTATCCTACCTGGCTTCTGATGAGCCACACTAGTCCTCAGGTAAATACCAGGAGCAGGTGTGGCTCATCAGAAGCCCGGTAGGATAGAAAATTTACCCCTGTAATAGAGTTTAGGTCAGGGGATTGTAGGGCCCAGGTCATCTGATGCAGCAGTCCATCTCTTTAGTACTTATGTCATAACCTCGATGTTATCTTGTTGAAAGACAAATGATTTTCAGCAAGTGTGTCCAGACTTTTGATTGGTGCTATAGAAGCTATGTGCTGGAGGTGATCTTCAGGATCTCACAGAGGGATACCAGAGGGATACCAGACTCCAGTGGTACCACACACTCTGTTAGTACGCAGGTAGGAGGACAGCATTAAGGTGGGGATTTATAGGAAATATCATGGGGTAAGAAAAAGCACCTTAACTCCTTCAGAAAACAAAGATGGTTCAGACGCGTAATTCTGCCGTCTGCTGACTCTCACTAAGGGTCATCCTAAGGACCACACGTTTATTCCTAGACAAGGTGATTCTGCTGGTGTACAGACATACAGCCAGTGACAGAAAATGGCACAGACAGGAACCATAAGCTGGGCCTTTGGACGACGACAGCTCAGAGTGGTAGCAAGACATTTTAACCTCAGGTAGGTGAGAATAAAGATGACTGGTTTTCTGTGGGACGCAGAATTGATCAAGAGTACAGCAATAGATAAATATCTGTGTCTGTTCTCATTAAAATATATAGGAAAGTAGAGGACAACAGTCCCAATAATCAGATCTCAATCCCAATGACAGTCCTAATAAATGATGCTGAACATTCACATCCTGCTCTGCTCAGACCTCAACAGGCTGAACACTCATGAGGCCTGAATGTAAGGCCTAATATTAAGTCTGCTAGCGCTGAATCGAGGATGATGGGCCTTCCTGGGACGGACTTACTCGAGTTCAGAGTCTGGCGTGTTTTGGCACTTGTACAGTAAGCCTCGATGACTTTAAGGATCTGCGCGTCCTCTTCCAGGGCGGCCGTGCCTGGAAGAGACAGAGCTCCGATGTTATTAGAACGCCTCACATCATCGCTGACAGACTTGACGCCGGTTTTACGAAGAACACTCACTTTTCCTCAACGCAAAGTCTTCGTCTGATGGTTTCCTCTCCGGCTTGCGCTTGGGAAGGAGCTTCTTCATGCTCTTGGGGCTTTTGCTGAGATCCTTGAAGAAGACAGAGGTGAGAAGATGAAGAAGCAGACATTGTAGGGGCAGAAGTTAGGTTCTCACTGGTGACTCGGAGCTCCGGAAGCCGATTCTTACCTCTTTATAGCAGAGAGCCGCTGAGGGTCGCAGGGGGGGTGCAGGCCGCAGGCAGCTGAGGCTCCAGGGCTTTGGGGTCTTGGGAGGCTCCAGCGGCCCCCACATCATGGTGCTGTGGGGCGTCCCGTGTGAGGAAGGGTGCGGGAGGGTGTGGTAGGTGGGGGCCAGGCCCACATTTCGGCTCTCGGAATGGCGAGATGGGGTGATCGGGTGCGAGGGAAGCTGTGGTCAGGGAGGGATGACAGCGGAAGAGTATTATGGAACAACAACGCCAGGTGAAAAGAAAGGACGGGAAATGCATGGTAACAACAGAAACCAAAGAAAACAGCAGAGTTCTGAGCAACTAACTGTGTGGAAGGGGACGGGGGAGGGCTTCAGGTTAGGTGTCCCCATGGTGATGTGCTTCGTCTGACGATGCAGGTGGTCCACCCAGTCATGCAAGTCCTGCTGGTTGTTACACAGCACCTGGATCCTCTCGATCATGCTCCCTGTTCCACACACACACACACACACACACACACACACACACAGAACATGCAAGAACATTCCTCAATAACTTGGATATGGAGCCAATTCAGCTACTAATCTGGGTTGGATTTATAATCAATTTAATATGACAGAAACTGAGCTTTTTATAACCATGTACCAGATATCTCAAAAGCGTTGTCCTCTAGCTTGCTGAGTGTCATTCCCGTCAATGGCAGTTTACCCTGGGAAACAAAACACATGAACGAGGCGGTATGAAGGCAATGAGGTTTAGTTAGTAGCTGACAGGTCAAACACCAACACTTTGTTGCTTTTCATATTTCAGTATTAACTCAGCATTAATTCAGAAGCCCACATGTACACACAGCGACAGGAGAACAGGGACCTAACAGGTCACAGGCACCTCGTGTATCTACTGCTCATCAGGGTGGGTATTCCCAACAAGTCCAGATACTGTATGATGCAATCACGATACCAGTGGACGACTCAAAAAAATCTAAATATTACCATTGTATCCTGATGGCTAACACTCCAATACCGAAATAATGGAACTACTAAAATTCAATTTAACAGGCCTTTAACTACCAAGGATGAGTACGTATCTTGAATAAAGTTGTCACGCATTTCAACTCCCAGTTGTATGAACTGTACAGTTCTTTGTGCCAGCTTAAAGTGAACATTTCCATTTTTAAAACGGCCAATGTGAAAACAACAGAGAAACATCAGACTACTTTATCATTTCACAATTCGCTTGCATTTTTGCATTACATGCTACATAAAGAACATATTTTTAATCAACAAATGATTGTAAAACAAAACACTACTTCAAACTGATAACTCAATGCAAAGACTCAAAATATCAATGAAAAACTATGACAAATAATCTCAATGTAACGATGAATTGCTGTAATGATACAGCTATACTGCCTACTAGGTTTGAAAGTGTCGCATAACTGCTAGGTCTACGATAGGGATTAAGGAGGCAAAAGTAGGAATATCGCAGTGATGCAGTGGGGGGGGAGGGGGCGGGGGGCTACCTGGTAAATGAAGCCGCTCATCCGGGGGCTGGCAGAGAGCATGAGGAGGACATGGGGAAACAGCAGGAGGTAGCGTTCATGCTTCTCCTACAACACAAAGCATCCCCTGCGTCAGTCACACACTATATGCTGTATCCTCAGTACTCACACACAGACGTCAAGTATGGCTACTACATGTTGATGCAGTGGGATTAATGGACTGGTGGCTGTTTTGCTGAAGCTGAACCTTCATTATTTTACTAGAAAACTCCAGTCGTACATGACTGTTTGAAAAATAACAGATGATGATTTTAAGATACATCATTTTAAAAGTTGTAGGATGCAGCACCCATAAGTTTATAAGGAGGCACCATGAGCTACTTCTGCAGTATCAAATATATCGACACATTTCAAAGCCGTGAACAGAAGGGGCCACGTTCCAAGCCCCCGGGCTGATGGTCTCGCTCACCTCAGTTCCGTGGTTCTGAATCATGACGTGGGACATGTAGAGGACTGAGCCCAGTGTCTTGATGTCTTCGCCTTCCCAGCATCGGATGGACTCCGTGAGAATCTGCAGCTCCAGCTCCTTGCGCTTGCGCACTTCCTGGCACTGTGCCTATGGACCGGGGGGGCAGTTAGTGGCAGCGTGACAGTGCCCCAAATGTCTGTACCACTGGGAACGTCTATACCACTGGGAACGTCTATACCACTGGGAACATCTGTAGGGCTGGGTTTAAAAAATCTATTTCCTGATTCAAATCAAGCTTCAATTGCATAATCTGATATCGATTCACAAAATCCCATGATTGATTTTTTTTTATAAATGCCTTTACAGTGTTTGGACTTTTCCTGTGGGTATGTGAGGCTTTAACCCTGTTACTCTTGTACAGCCAGTGTAACTAGATTTGGTTTCTGAATTGAATCGATTCGGGAAATCAGTGGCAACACTCAGCTCGAAACATGTTATGCCATACAGTCACACAATCACAGGTCGCTTCACTGTGTCAAACATTCCATCAGGGAATAAGGCTTAATGTTTAACGTCATGTTGAATCTCAGGACAGGTCCTACTACAATACCCTTGAACAGAGTACTGCTCCTGTAAAACTGAACAAAGGGTAAAATGGATAAAACCGTGTGTGTGAATGTTAGTGTGCCGTGTTAGGGGTTGGCTCCCGGTCTTGTGCCCATAGTCTCTGAGATGGACCCCCATGACCCTTAATAGGACAAGCAGTTTCAGAAAAGGGATGGATGGATGGATGGATGGATAAGACCAACAGTTAATAATGAAAAATAAAAAACAAAACGAAATATATTGTTCAGAATATACATATTTCATCTATGGCATTTAACTGGGCAATAAACAGTTATGCTTAATGGATTAAAGCATCTCCAATGAAACACATGTGGGCAGAATCTGAGGTACTGAAGGACAGTAAACAGACTAAGGATCTCCTTTGCCAGAGTTGGGTAATTCAGGTCCAGAGAGTAAAAGTCCAGAACGGAATTTTGTTTCAACTAACCAGTCAAGTACTCTGTGACTGTGACTATTTATGCTCAAGTAGTTGGTTGAAACAAAATCCTGGTCTGAACTTTTACTCTCTGGACCTGAATTACCCACCTCTGTCCTTGGCACAGGTTGATCTGGGTCTCCACACCCAAATGTCCCCCATAAAGAGAAAGTCTCTGCTTTTCTATTTTCAGCTGCCCTATTCTTGGTCTGTAGGACTGTAACAAGGTGGCCTCTGCACATAGCAGCTTGGAACAGTCAAATTCATCAATCTATTGGAAATGTAAATAATATACAGCCGGTAAAATCTAATACACAAGAACAACAGATGGTATTACAAGTGAAACTACCTAAAACGGACGTCAAGAGCCTGCTGATGGAACCTGAATAAGACTAAATCTCAGGAAGTCTGCTCTGCAGCGCGAGATGATAAGTAGGTCTACAGGAAAGCACTGAGTGTGCTCAGAAGATACCAGGCCAGAATGACTGGGGGGGGGGCAGCTTGCAAGGAGAGATTAGGCCTTAGACCTTCTTCCTCCCCAAGCTAAGAGCTTAATGCTAATGCAGAGATGAATCCAAGCATGCAATGGAAAAGCTGCAATTACCCACAGGCTGGCCACCTCCAGACACATTCTAGGGCAAGCTGGAGGTTCATAATGTGTAAAGAAATAGATTTTCTGGTTTTCATGTAGCTGCTGTCAAGGGCAGAGGACATACTAGACAGGCAGGTTAGAACACCGTCTACAGCAGATCGTTTTCTGACAGGAGAGCGATATTCGGTCATGAGCAGAATTCACGAGAGCGATATCCGGTCATGAGCAGAATTCACGAGAGCGATATCCGGTCATGAGCAGAATTCACGAGAGCGATATCCGGTCATGAGCAGAATTCAGACCGGGAGTATGCCTCCCTGAAGACGGGATTCTGTAAAGTATGGGAACTCACTCATTCCAGATGAAACAAATGCTTGTACAAACACACAGAACTCAGACAAGAGGCATGGTATATAAACAGCACTTGGCCAGTATCGCAAACACTAAGAAAACAAGAGGCCATGTGTGAAATGAGACAAACAATGAAGACTCTGCTCGAATGCACCTAGAGCTATTTTAGCTGACTAGCTTTATCCAAGTCACTCGTGGTTTGCATTGTTTCATAATCCGATCCTCAGGGACCCACATTCAGTACATATTTTTGCTCCCTCCGAGCTCCCTGCCAGACAGTCCACATTTTTTGCTCCCTACCAGTAGTTGGGAGGGAGCAAAAACATGGACTGTCTGTGGGTCCCCGAAGACTGAATTGGCTTAGAGAAATTTGCAGGGAGAGAATTACCATAGCAGTATTCAATCAAAGAGTGGTTTTCAACTGTGCAAAAGTGTTTCTTGCACATCTTTATGAAGAACGTTTACTTCACATTATAAAAAGATATTCAGTACTGCAGAGCCCACAATTCACTTCCCAAAGCATGCACGTCCACTAGTCGGTGCTAGAGAGCTTGGAATGACAGCAAACTGTGCAGATAAAAGCCTGACTTACAGACAGGCTTTTGAATGATGCCATGCACTTGTGAATGTCTGGCCGGTCGGGGTGGAACTCCTGCAGAGAAGAGAACAGGGCATGTTGTTACACCCAGCGAGAAAAAGCCCACTGTGACACAGATTTTACCGAAGGCGGCCGCACAAACACGCACAGCACACAGATCCCGGGACGGGCTGCTCCAATCACGGCTCCACCGACTCACAATCGGCGATATTCTGCTTAATGGGACATTTTTATAACCAACTTGTAGCTCAGCTCCTCAAGGTGATTTTTGTGGGAAATCAAACAGAAAATTTTCCCGGCCAGGCAGCAATCGAATAACATCTGAGAAATGGTGCTTATAAAATGTAAACATCACAATAATAAACTTGAAGAGCACGACAGCTGACATAAAAGTTGTCAGAAGGTTGCCAGTTCAAATCCCAAAGCTGGCAGAGTGATTTCACTGCTGGGCCGTTTTGTTAATCCCAGTCGCTATGGGGACTGGTTGAATTAGAATTTGGTGATCAGTGGTCATTGTTAACACACCACAGCACACAGTGCACAACAACGAAATGTGTCCTCTGCATTTAACACATATGTGACATCATGACATAGCAGGGGTAGCTAATTCAGCACCCGGGGAGCAGAGCTTGGGGGCGGTACCTTGCTCAGGGTACCTCAGTGGTACCTTGCTGGTCGGGGATTCAAACCAGCAATCTTTCAATTACAAGTGCGCTTCCCTAACCATCAAGCCACCACTGCCCCCAATTGTACATCACTTTGGATAAAAGGATCTGGTAAATAAATAAATGTAAATACAACTCATAACTGGAGGTGCTGCACTAACCCAACGCAGACAACTGCGTCAAGACAGCAGGTGATGCTGAACTACTTTAGATACAGTAAACAGCTGCTTGTTATGTTTACATTGTCTGATACCAAAGACATCACAGTAACCCCCCCACCTCCATGTGCCTCTCCAGTTCCTTCAGCAGGGTGGGGTACTTGTCTAGCCGCATGAAGGGCTTGCTGAGGCCCGTGGTGAGCATGAGGATGCCTGGGCTATTGGCTCCCTTGGCCTCCATGAAGTCGCCGAGTTCCTCACTGCAGGGTAGGCGACATACAGACGACACAGACCAATTTTATATGGAGCAGATTCCATGGGTCCCCACATATCACAAGGATCTACGTTTTGTCTATTTACCATGCAGATGTATTGCAAGCTTTACACCAGGATGCCTAGGGGGGGGGCGATAGAACCGATGCGGGCAGAAAAGTCTCAGCCAACCAATGAGGGCGACAGGACCTGAGGCGGGGTTACCTGTGTTCTGTCAGGACGTGGACGGCGAATGGGTGGTTGGCACAGTATGCCACGTAGAGTCCCTTCATTTGGGGCATCAGGTTGAGAAAAAAAGTGCCCACCCTCTGCTGCGATTCAGGCAGCCTGCCAGGCACCGCAATCAGGGAGATACAAACACATTTCAGACCACGACGATGCCCTCCACACTTTCACAGCCTGTAGTTATGGGCCAAATATGCGAACCACTATAGTACTGTGTGCTAATGATAACATAATTAAACAACTGGAAAAAAATGAAAAAAGGATGAGAACCCATCTGGGTTCAGGAACGTCTAGCAGCTACAACAACAAGGACCAAGAGAAAATATATATTGGAAGTTTTCCCTGTTAAGGGCATTTCTCAGACTGAACGTTGTTACCAGCTCACTGTGCACCTGAAACAGGTAGCCGGTTTCATTGTTTATTTCATTAGCCAGGCAGCATTAGCCAAGTCGAGCCTCTAGGCTTCACTGTAACATATGTCAATGGTCAGCAGGTGCAGGAAGCAGGAAAGCTTTGCCTTTCTATTTATAGCGGAGACACTGTGATCAGGCAGGTCTGACACACAATGCCTGGAAGATGTCCGTCATTCCGGGGGGACAAAAAAAGAGCCTTTTCATCCCTCCAGAAAGCACAGCAGTCACAACTCAGTTTTTTGGTAGGGTTAGATGGGTCAAATGAACAGAGGCGGACATTTCAGGTCCAGAAAGTAAAAATCCAAACCAGAATTTTGTTTCAACCAGCCAGCTGAGTATAAAGAGTCACAAAGTATTCAACTGATTGGTCAAAACAAAGTCTTAGTCTGGATTTTTACTTTCCTCTGAAAATGAATACTGCACAGGATATACCAGGTTTTCACTGTGAACAGAGAGAATGGCCACGGTTCTCCTACAGCTATAGACCATTCACAAGCTAACAGCCAGCACACCCTGCTCCGCAGGTAATGCTGCACCAAAAGACTCCAGAAACACAATGGTTGGGGATTTAGTTACAAATGACTAAGATCTCTTCACTCTTGGTCAGTCTTGCTCCAGCCCAAATCAAAACATGCTCCTTTGAAGCGGTTCAGTGAAACAACCAAAGAAATGGGGACGCAGCTGCCGACTCACTTTGTGCAGTCCTCCAGAGCCTGAACCAACATCTGCTGAAACGTGTTGATCTCCTCCAGGTTCCCCAAGATGTGCGCAACATCTGAGTTGCTCAGTCTGGAAGGCAGCCCACAAACAAGAGTCAGGACACCAGTGACACCACTGGAATAGACCCTCCTTATGTAACTCTCATTCAGAACGTGGCTCAGAGCTCCATCACATGATACGTAGAATACAGCTACAAGGATGCATGCAGCTAATGGCATTGTCAAATACATCCAGGTATATAGCAGTGGTTCCGCTGGGAATTGCTGAACTAAGTTCAAGAACTTTTCAGCAAAAACAACATGACAAGGCTGACAGCACCTTAATGGTGCCTCCGGGGAATATACATCCTTAAGAGTATGCTTTCAGTCTGGAACACTAAAAGAATGACAGACCATATGTAATCCGAGATGATCTGTCATATTCCTTTGGGCAGGAGAAGCTGAATGATCCATGAGGTCAGGTGGAGGTTGAGGGTTAGGGGCGTTTCAAGTGCAGCTCAGTACGTCTGACCCTAAAACAAGGCACACGACTTCATAACTTACTTGTCTGTAGTCGGTAGTAAACGCAGATAGTTTGACAGGAGATTCTGCAGCTCTTTCGAATATTCCGTCTCAGTTTCAAGAATGTTCTGCAGCACCTGAAGAAACACGCATAGCCCAGTTTAAGCTTGATATTATTACCCTGCTAAAGGTTCCACATACATTCATAATAATAATAATGACACTTTATTGATCCCTGTGGGGAAATTCTTTTTTTCCCCATCTTGCTGTCCGTGACCGACGTATGTAAACGAGACCAAGTTTGGCCGCACAGGGCAGCCGTCGGTAGCGGTGCTTATGGAGCTGGCAGGGGGTTAAGGGCCTCGCTCAAGGGCCCACAAATGGGGCCATTCTGCTGAGGCTGGGCTCAAACCAGCGACCATATGATTATAGGCACAGAGGCTTAGCCTGTTGAGCCACACGCTGCCCACAAACCAGACGAATGTTAAAATGCCAAGTTTTTTCTGGTCTTCTGGTGGTATAATATCCCATGCGTTCTTCTTTATTGATACACCAAGTAGCTGATCTGAGGATCTGGAATAAGGGAAGTTTCACCCAGGACCACTCAGTACTGAGCCATTCTCCATAAGGCCTCACAACAACAGGCCAAATTAGGTCCCTTTTCCTCTACCGGACCAGGAGAAATGAGCGAAAACGAGGTCATCCTGACCAAACAAGGTCACCTATTCTATCACAAAGAGGGGCATGAATTCTGTTCTCTAAGCTCTGCTCATTGTGTGCATGACATTTAAGAAGGGGTTCACTTAAAGACCATGACATTGTCTACTCCAAACATTCTGAAAAGTGTCTTTCAAGCAGAGGTGGGTAGTTCTGATCCAGAAAGTAAAAATCCAGACCAAGATTTTGTTTCAACCAACCAGTTGAGTACAGACACTCCTCTACTTACGAACTTTCGACATACGAACGAAGAGGATTGAAAGTCCAAATTGTATTCGTTGGGCTCCCGTTTCCTGTTCGCAACATATATTTTTTTTTCTGCACACTAATTCCGCCTAATACGACTTCTGCCCGCTACTCTCGCCACGTAGCAGTGTAGCGTTCGTACTCCCAGCATATTCTTTGTACTTGAGTATACCCTTAAAATGATGTTGAATAACAACTTACGAACATTTCAATTTACGAATGGCCATTCGGAACGCAACTTGTTCGTAAGTAGAAGAGCGTCTGTATTCTGTGACTGTGACTCTTTATACTCAACAGGTTGTTTGAAATAAAACTTTATGGATTTTTTTACTTTCTAGACCTGAACTGTCCACCTCTGCTTTCAAGTTACTACCTGGAAGATTTAAGGATTCCAAATATTCCATACTGCTGTTATTCATAAAATCGTATCAGATTATCATCTTAATGCAAAAATATTCCTTCACAAATGCCTACTCTATGTACAACAAACAGTTTTGCCCTGTACACTGAGGGGGAGGGATAGGACGTGTACTTTGATCACACCCCGTAGTAAAATGCCCAGACTATCTCTCTCCTCCTCTGTAATTACACTGACATGTAATAGACAGGAATCATTGGAATGGCACTGTGTTTCCACAGACTCTGTTTGCATTGTGCAATTACTTAACTCTGAAGATAATTGTGAACAGTGAAGATGTTCAAACAAAAGGAAGAGGACAAAAAAATTGACGTTCTTGTTGCGCGGACTGAATGGTGCATGACACTAATGCGCCAGCTCTGCTCTGGTCACTGACGTCTATGGATAGGGCCATCAGCTAATCGTGGCGTCCCATCTTGAGTACAAACAGGCCCTTTTCCTGCCTCCTGCTGCTGCTTGATTGACCTGGAAATCGTCATCATTCCAGGTACAGTGTAGTGAGGAACTCTGCATATGAATATGATCTACAAAACGTTAAATCACAACTACACTAAAAATGCAATTCTCACCAAATTGTAGTAGGTCTTGCTGATGGCGGAGGTGTCAAAGCCTTTAGGGGGGCTTTTCAGAGTTCCAGACTTGGGAGATAACGGTTTTTCTGGAGGAAAGGAAAGAGGGGGGATCCGTCAGCTGCATCTGCAGTTACTTTGATTGTCATATGACCCTCTGCATGTTAGAGAAGCATTCAGGAAAAAGACAAGCGGCTGCCCCACTAAGATCTTGCAGCCTCCTGATTCTGCCGAGTTCGACGTGTCCCTGGGTCAACAAGGGAGGGGATTGCATCACACTTGTTTAACCAATCACAGTCTTCATTGTTTGACATCAGCAGATTAATTTAAATCTGAGTTTTCTGTTAAGCGGCCAGGTGTATATATTTGTAAAGTACCTGTTTTACTGTGAATGCCTTTTATTGAAGGTCAAGTCATAGACACACGAGGTCGGAACATGCTTTCCTGCAAAGGCTATAAGGGTGTATCTTTATTTCATTATGATGATAACAACAATAACAACAACAAGGCTCTAACTGGCGACCTTCCAATCCCAGCCACAGAGACTCCCTGACCCACATCACCTCCAACTGCTGAAAGCCTTGAGTTTGAAAATGAGGAATCAATGCGGCGACGTCATACAAGGAAGACTGTGATTGGTTAAAGAGGTGAAATGCAAGGCCTTCCTTTGCTGACCCAGGGACACGTCGAACTCGGCAAAATCAGGACGTCCCACTGGCAGAATCACTCTATAGCACTTTCTGATGGGGACCCTCTAGGGAGCTGGATGAACCCCCAGCTGCATCACGCATAAACAAAGCTAGGCTAAACCCATTCAAACGTCCGCAGTCGCCCTCCACACACACACACACACACACACACACACACACAAAGTCACAGCCTCCTTCAGCCCAAGATCTTCGATACATCCAGCTTCTGACACGTTTTCTTCTCACGGATTCCTTTCTCACACACTCAGAACGGGCTTGACAGCAGCCCAGGGTGCCTCGCTCTGAATAAAGGTGACGCTTCATTTCTTGCCAATTCAAACACTCTGCTTTTGCCATGTGATTCTCAGCCGAAGCACTTTTCGCATCTCTTTAAATAACAGCACGCACTGATACATAATGCGCATCTTTAAATGTTTCCCAAACATGCATAATCCGTCTGCCTTTTGAAATATTAATTACCTGTTAAATATTTAAAGTTCTGTTACTGCGTCAGTTCAGCATGTTATTAGCGGAAGTCATCACCCAAGACAGCTGTCGCATTAAATAACAATGAGGAAACAAGCAGGATTTCAGTGATGGATTCACAGGCTGAAGCAGCACGACCCACATACCCAAGTGACTGTAATTCCTTGGCACGAAACTTGCTGGAAGATGTAGAATTTTTAAAATTTTTTTGGGGGGGGGCTTTTCATGATACAGAAAATTCACATTTAATTGTAAGAAAAGTTTTCAGCACTTATACATTACAAGGGGGCAGTGGTGGCTTAATGGTCAGGAAAGCGCCTTGTAATTGAAAGATTGCTGGTTCAAATCCCCGACCAGCAAAGCACCACTGAGGTACCCTGAGCAAGGTACCGCCCCCTGCTATGTCACATTGTCACATATGGGTTAAATGCAGAGGACAGCATTTCATTGTTGTGCACTGTGCTGTGGTGTGTCAACAATGACAATTAATCACTAAATTCTATATTAAGGATAAATTTATCTTAAAACTGAAGGCACAGATAACTTCTGAGCTAGACCCCGCCCTTATCCGTAGTATTGCTCCGCCCCTTGGGTGCAGTATAGGTTGCAGACGGGTCAGTTGAAACCCTGCTTGCTTCACCTGCACATGAAATGCTCTATGATGAGACTGCAATCTCCACAAAGCCCCAGAGGCCCATCTGGCTCCAGAGACACTTACCACCACCTTTGACCTCTCGGACATAGTTGCTAGGAAACCAGCCAGTCTTGCCATTGTAGACACCCTCCCACCACCCTCCTTCTTCCATGCGCGTGACGTGGATGATGTCACCCTTTTCAAAGGATAGCTCGTCCTCATTCGTCTGCTGGAAGGTGAAGCGGGCCTTCACCACTGCCTGGGAGAAGCAGTTCTCGGCCATGTCCTGCAGGAGGAAGGACATTGGACTTACCTTAAGACCATCCTACGTCTCCACACAACTTAAGAGTGAAATCAAACAGATGCTTCGTGCATTCAGTCAGTCAGACTTGCTATACTGCGGCCCAGTGCCACCTAACCCTACCTCACTTCCTGGTTCTGGATGTCACTGGGGATGCATTACTGAAGCAGACACTCACTAGACTGCGGAACTGGCTCTGCAGGAGTGCAGAGGATCTGGCGGAGGCGTTCTGGGAGCCCAGCGAGTCCAACGACTTTATCCGGTGAAATGAGGACTGGCGTGCACATACGGAGTCAATGCCAAGGCCGATGTCTGTGGCCAGGGTGAGTCCAAAAATGAGAGTCAAAGAAAGGGACCCAAAGCAAAGAATTGAAGAGACTGAGAGTCAAAACATGTTGGCTTTCACAACCAAAGAGCAGAACTGGTCACACTTTAGACAGAAAAACCCAATAACCACACAGGTATCATTGAGATAACACCCTCATCTTCCCGCTATACTGAAAACCTATCAGCATTCTGATCCAGGACATTTTGGAGGATCAACTGCAGGCTAACATTTCTGGAAGACTCATTCTGTCTTGGGGGAATGTACATATACTGAACTGGTCTGTGAGTTAACAGTGCAATTAGCTTTGACAGTCAGAGACGTGAAAGTGATCAGCTTGAATGCCAGATGCACGAACGGAAGGGAACTGCAGGGGGACGTCTGAGACTCTCTACGGGGAACATAGCGGGGGGGGGGGGCAAAATCATTCCAGTTCTGTCTAATGTTACAAAGAAGCAACACTGTGCATCCAACTAATTCATATCAGCCAGATCACAGTCTCAGATTGACGTGAAGTAAAAGCCTGGATGGAGGTGCTGCGCTGCACCTGTGCGCCTGCCCGCGCATTCCCCTGCATTCCCGCGCGCTGCCACCCGCCCACACCCACCTACCTGCCGTTGCCTTGTTCAGCGCCACCAGGGAATTCAGCACCTTGGTGAAGTTCTGCCCCAGGAACAGATCACTGGCTTCGAAAGTCTGTGGAGGAAGAATAATGGATTAGAAGCAGGATGACAGGAAGGGAAAGGCGGGGGACCGGGAAAAAAAATCCGAGCACATCCCTCACAGTCTGCGCTCCAGCGCAGTATGGGGGGGGGGGGGTGTTTAACGAGCACGCTTCACGAGGCTGAGGAGAATCCTGACCAAATCCTGCTGCAATGCGTCTCACTACTGGAATACGTGTGGAAGGCAGGAGCACCCGGCTGCCTGCATCTCCGCGAGGACCCACGACGCGGGCGAGGCCAGGTTGCCCACGCGTTGGCCATCTGCACACCGGCCCCTGCTGCAGCCAATCAGAGTGCCCCGGCGGCCCCGCTTTAGCCAATCAGGCCGCGCCGGCAGCCCCGCTTCAGCCAATCAGGCTGCGCCGGCAGCCCCGCTTCAGCCAATCAGGCCGCGCCGGCAGCCCCGCGTCAGCCCTGTCCAGCCGCGCACTGCTCCTTGCCTCCACTCACAACCCCAGCAAATATTTAACCAACTTGATAACAGGCCAAAAATAACAACATAGTGTACGGATGCACACACCCTGAAAAACACACCCCAAACATATACACCAGGCTAGATAATAACGTAAAGAATCAGAACTACAGGTGTAATAACTGAGGAGATAATAACACACACACCCCCCACCCCCGCGCCCCCTGGGAAAAATTAACCAGACATAATAACTACGCAATATCTAACTTGTCACTAACACACCACGGTGCTGATCCGACACTCGCATCTCAGCACATTAGCTTTCGGATCAGGATCATTCTGGATCACCTTTAACAGACTATTGTTATAATCCAAGGGCACCGATGACTTAAATCAGACACACAAAGGAGAAAATCAGCAGTCTTTCCATCCTCCCATCCATTTTTTAATCTACTTTATCCAGTTATGATGAAAGGGAGCTGGGGTATGTTGTAATCAGAGACAGGAGGCAGCTTGTGCCTCACATGTGATGCCATTACACAGCAGGACAGTCGCACACCTTCATTTAGGCTGTCATGGTCCAAGGCCAGGTCAACTGACCCAGATCTTTGGAGAGTCACCGGGAAATAAAGGGCCCCTTCCGGAGATGGAGGGAACACACAAGCTCCATACACACTCCAGATACACATTTGTATTCATATCCTTGTGGGGACCGTCCATTCATTCAAAAACTCTAATCCCAACATGACGACCTTAACCCCTACCCAGGCCTAACCAGAAATAACTGAACAAAGTACAAGATTTTTGGCATTTTTTGTTTTTTGATTGCAGTCACATATTTTTAAAAAATGAGTTTCCCCTTTGGGGGGGGCAGGCAAAACGGTCCCCATAACATCAATATAACAGGGTTTTTATCCCATTGTGGGGACATGCATGAATTTTAGAATATGGTGATAAACATTGATATCCTGAAAATCAAGACGTGTCAGGCAGCCCTAAAGTCTTTCTCAAAGCCCTTCTGCTAGCTGAAGCTCCATTTCACCAACCACCACACAATCCTTAGTGTATTAAAGTACACAATAAGAGACATACTGCTAGCCAATGAACCAACACAAATTATATACAAAAGAGGCATTTAGTTATTGCCCTTCCTGTGTTACCAAAGGTCCTTGCACAGTTTAAATTGGCTCCGTTGCTGAAGGTCGTTGTGTAGATTCAATGAGCTGTGCAGTGGATTATTAAGGTAAAATCAACTCAAAGATATTCTGAATGCATGGTATTTTCATGGTGAAAGTGAAAACATCAAATGAAGCATTTAATTTACTTAGTTCATACTTTGATCCAAAGTGACCAACAACGTCACCTTTTTATAGATGGTTAATTTACTGAAATAATTTACATTAAACAGTGGTCCCTAGGCTTCCTAACTTTTAATCATGTACACGCCCTTAACCATCTTGCTCTCTACGGCCCCAAATGTTATTCAAGTAATATATTGTATTAGTCAAATGTCTGGATGCACTTGCTATTATATTTGTCTCTATTTTAGCTACGTTATTCACCTTATAGTAAAAGCCCCTCTTGCTTCGATGACAGCATTGCAGACTCTGCACTCTTTTAACCAGCTTCCAGAAGTAGCCACACGGAATTCTTCTCCAGCAGTTGTGAAGGAATTTCCTTCAGTCCACCTCATCCCAAGCCACCTCTATAGGGTTTAGATCAGGAGATTGTGGGGACCAGGTCATCTGTACTCCATCTCTTTCCTTGTTCACAAGATAATACTTACTACATAACCTTGAGGTAGGTTTACAGTAATTATCTCGTTGAAAAACAAATGATTTTCAGTATGTGTTTCCAGACTTTTGACCGGTGCTGTATATCATGTTTATTACCAACCACACAGTTTCACACAAATCAGAGGAATCGTCCATCCACCTTTCCACACATGCAACACTGGGTTTTGATGAGTTTATCCCAAGAAGCCCAGGGAACAAAGCTGTCCGTCATAAGGTTCACACAAGCTAGGAGCAAACATGTGGAAAAAAAAACACATGACCACAGGATGCCTCAAACTCTTCCCACCAAGACTAATTCCCTTACGGCTGTCTTTAACATTTATTCACGTGTACTTGTGCATCATTAGGTTGGTGGTATGATAGGATTATTCAACAACTGAGCTAAAATCGGGGGAAATGTATTGATTATTTTGCTTAAGTATATTTGTTGGTACATTTTGTTTTACTGCACATTGACAGAGTTATAATTTTGTATCTCACACAAATGGAGATGCTGTGAAAAAGACACACTGTATTTACCGATAACTACTTCCATCTTTGTCTGCGGTTTAACACATTTCTCTGCATTGACCTTTAAGTCACTTTGAAGAAAAGCATCCTCTAAATAAATCTGTTCAAAAAACTCATCCCAGACCATCTGTCCTTGCAGATTCTTATGATTAAGCACAAAATGGCTGGTTTAACTATTTCAGCATCTCCTCTGAATCCTCTGGCTGTATATTTTTATCTTTTATCCCTGGCATTATGGCTGGGCAACACGCCCTATAAATTATATCATGATATTTTCACAACATTGGTATCCATCCATCTTCTGTAACCACTCGTCCTATTCAGGATTGCAGGAGGTTTGGAGTCTATTGGTGCAAGATAGGGAACAACTCAGGATGGGGCACAAACCCAACGCAGAGCACACTCACACACCATTCACTCACACTCACGCACCATTCACTCACACTCGCACACCGTTCACTCACACTCGCACACCATTCACTCACACTTACACAATTGTTTTTGCAGGCAACTTCAGTAGGTCCCATTAACCGCAGCTTATTTTTGGACCACGGTGGGGAGCCAGTGTACCCAGAGGAAACCCCCCCAACAACACAGGAACAACATGCACAAGAGTCTCGAATCCTGGTCCCAGAGGTGTGAGGCAACAGCGCTAACCTCTGTGCCACCGTGCCACCCCGCAGTGCTAACCACTGTGCCACAGTGCCACCCCGCAGCACTAACCACTGCGCCACAGTGCCACCCCGCAGCACTAACCTCTGTGCCACAGTGCCACCCCGCAGCACTAACCACTGCGCCACCGTGCCACCCCGCAGTGCTAACCTCTGTGCCACAGTGCCACCCCGCAGCGCTAACCTCTGTGCCACAGTGCCACCCCGCAGCACTAACCACTGTGCCACCGTGCCACCCCGCAGCGCTAACCTCTGTGCCACCGTGCCACCCCGCAGTGCTAACCACTGTGCCACAGTGCCACCCCGCAGTGCTAACCTCTGTGCCACAGTGCCACCCCGCAGCGCTAACCACTGCGCCACCGTGCCACCCCGCAGCGCTAACCTCTGTGCCACAGTGCCACCCCGCAGCGCTAACCACTGCGCCACAGTGCCACCCCGCAGCACTAACCACTGCGCCACAGTGCCACCCCGCAGCACTAACCTCTGTGCCACAGTGCCACCCCGCAGCGCTAACCTCTGTGCCACAGTGCCACCCCGCAGCACTAACCTCTGTGCCACAGTGCCACCCCGCAGCACTAACCACTGCGCTACAGTGCCACCAAATACTTGCTTTTGAAGAAAATTACAGTAACAACAAAATCCACAGGAAAACATGTTTCAGTGTCAGCATAGTTACTGTAATTTGTTTTTGCAGGGCGGTACACTCTTGTCTTTGGTTGCATGAAGTTCTATTCAGCCATTTGTATTTATACCTAGATATAGCCGTTTCCAAAAATCTGATGCAGAGGCCAATCAGCCCAGTGGGCATGCATCTTCTTTGGAGACAGATATCAGACATCTGCTGAAACAGGAACATGTCATACCGCGGTGTACGGCCACCCAACCGATGTGAAGCATTACGCGCTCCAAGGCCGTGACGATTGTTGAATAATCCGTGACGGTTGTTCCCGACCGTTGTGAAGCATTACGCTCTCCAAGGCCGTGACGTTAAACAGGAACATGATGTCGTACCACGGTGTATGGCCACCCGACCGATGTGAAGCATTATGCGCTCCAAGGCCGTGACGTTAAACAGGAACACGATGTCGTACCACAGTGTACGGCCACCCAACCGATGTGAAGCATTACGCGCTCCAAGGCCGTGACGTTAAACAGGAACACGATGTCGTACCGCTGTGAACGGCCACCCGACCGATGTGAAGCATTACGCGCTCCAAGGCCGTGACGTTAAACAGGAACACGATGTCGTACCGCGGTGTACGGCCACCCGACCGATGTGAAGCATTACGCGCTCCAAGGCCGTGACGTTAAACAGGAACACGATGTCCTACCGCTGTGTACGCCCACCCGACCGATGTGAAGCATTACGCGCTCCAAGGCCGTGACGTCAAACAGGAACACGATGTCGTACCGCGGTGTACGGCCACCCGACCGATGTGAAGCATTACGCGCTCCAAGGCCGTGACGTCAAACAGGAACATGATGTCGTACCACGGTGTACTGCCACCCGACCGTTGTGAAGCATTACGCTCTCCAAGGCCGTGACGTTAAACAGGAACACGATGTCGTACCGCGGTGTACGGCCACCCGACCGTTGTGAAGCATTATGCGCTTCAAGGCCGTGACGTTAAACAGGAACACGATGTCGTACCTCGGTGTACGGCCACCCGACCGTTGTGAAGCATTATGCGCTCCAAGGCCGTGACGTTAAACAGGAACACGATGTCGTACCGCGGTGTACGGCCACCCGCCCGCGGCACTGCCACCGCTGCCAAGCCCTGAAGAAGAGACGCAAAGGCCAGGGTTTCGCAGGGACAAACGGAGGCTTGTCTGGGCCCCTCACAGCTGGTCTGACCCCCACACCATCCTGGCCTGATAAGTCATATCCAAGTTCGTGAGCGGGGGGGAGGGGGGAGGTCTAGCATAGACAAAGCAAAGCGAGGGGGCGTTGATTAACACCAATGCGCATTTTCACAGACACATCCTCTTGAGAACCTACAGTTCTGCTGAAGCCCGACACTTCAAGGATTCTGAGCATAATTTAAAAGGCTATGCTGGCTTTAGCTTGGGCAGATAGCAGATCGGAGAAAAAAAGCCACTGAGCTGTGCCTCAGCAAGCAATTATTTGTTCATTTTTAACAATGAGAGAATCAGATACACCAAGTGTCACAGAGAAAAGTGGACAGACATGTGGCAGAACATCTGAGAATCATTTCAAGCCATAAGTTACTATATGAGCAACAGTCACCAATGCAAGTCCTTTTCAGATTGACGCGCCCTGGTATTTACCAGGCTAAGAGCATGCATAATATTTACATTTCATTGATTTATCTAAGAATTTTATCCAATGGAACTCACAGAAGGGGAAATGGTTACAATTTACATATGCTGCCTGGGATTTGAACCCATGACCTTTACATTGTTAGTGGAACACATTACTTGTTAAGTTACATTTTGCAATCAAAGCAATCACTCAATCAAACAAACAATCAAATACCAAACAATTGAACATTTAGCCAGGATAGAACAAATGCTGTGCAAATATTCTAACAACTTGAAAACTCTCATGCAACGCAAATGTACAAATATTGATGAATGGAATTTTTAATTTTGCAAACAAGGAGTGAGCTGAACATAGTGCCAAGCAGATGATCATGTTTATTGATTTGTAGACTTTATATATAGCAGACATTTTATCCATTCATCCATCTTGCTTAACTGCACTTCTATACATACATGTCATAGACTTCATTTTTAATTAAAGTTCAGGGATGGTTGTTTTTTTCCGGGCAGCCGAGATCATAACAATATTACTGCTACTATAATTAACTATTTACAATTCTTTTATACATTGCTGACTATTAAAGTAGCTGGTAGAGTCACTTTCCAAAGTGTAAGCATCTTTGACAAATAGCTGCCAAATGCATTGAATTGATTCACAGTAGCGGCAAATTGTTTACTCATTCTGCCGTAAGCCGTTTTATTCATTACATACTGTAACGGAGTTCCTCGAGCATTTAAAATTCATCAAATGGAAAGTCCAGCTCCATTATCTTCTGGAATGTGAGCAGGAGCATGGAGACTGAATGGGTATATGGGGAAGCCTGGTCTCAGTCAAAGACTTCATTTCCCATGATGACTGACGGCTCCCACAGCAGCCATAGCAAAACGTGCATGAGCCAAAGCTGTTTTATACAGTATCATTAACAAACAAAATCATCGAGAAGGTAGTGGATTACAGTGACTCACGTAGCCTGCTAATTCAAGCTCGTGCACCAGTTTAAAAGTCAAGTCTATCTCTTCTCTCATGCATAAAAATATCTAAGATTCGTTTGACAAGGTCTTAGTGGTGAATTACACCACTACAACTGCACACCCAGTTTAACTTCACAGATTATATACAAATTGTCATTTTTGAATAATTTTACTGCCAATGGAATCGATGACCTAACATACATTTTTTCAAAGGCCACAATTATAATATATACTGGTGGGACACGCCCCCTCCCCCCAAATATTCAGATCAGCTCACAATATCCCCCCGAATATATATTATAATTACAGCCTTGGTCTCCTCCCTCCCCCCCGTGTTGACTCCATGTCGGCGGCCTTGAATTTTCCTACCCAGAATATTTTTAGTTTGGGAGGAAAGTCATCACTCCGCCAAACTATCTAAAAATTGTCAGTATTTCCCAGATATTTCTCATTCGCCGAAAAACTGCGCAAGCTGAACACAAAATGGAACAAGCACTTATTAAGCCAAAATATGGAACAAATGTGCAAAGGCTTCTGTCTATTATCCCGCTGTTCATTCTCATTCACCCATGCAGTAAATGAGTGCTGGTCAAAAAGGGAGGGTCCTTCCTTAAGCACTTAAATTATCATTGTTATTATTATTATTATTACTACTATTTGCCAGGCATATTAAAGTGTCATTCAAGTTAATTCCTGTTTGGCTAATGTGGTTGGATGGGATGTCCTGCTTTTATGTTTTCACATTGGAACCAAGCTTGTTAAACGGTCTCTGTACCGTCAGTCTGCTAACGATGCAATAATGTGGCTTCATTTTATTTGCTTTCAATGCACATTTGAACATTTAAAAAGAATACACAGTTAAAAGCAACTGATGAGGAGTGAAACCCTTGGTTCCAGATGGTCTCCTTACATATCTGACGTACTCATCTTTCTAAAGATACGAGCTTATCAAATTTTTGGTGGAATTCCCGTTTAATCTCACACCCTCTGTGGCAGTCTCTGGAGGGAGACATTTCTGAGCTGCTATATTTAAACCTGCCATTGTAACCAAATGCTGCGCCCCAAATAAATATAAGAGTCATAGGTGTTTAAGAATTCCATCAGTAAAAAGAGGACATTTTCCCCTTTATTTCCCCACTGAATGAATCTCAGCGTGTGAAGATAAGAACATCTACAAGACTTTCGTCCCTAAAAAGATAGAACTTTGTAAATGCTATTTTTACTCTCAATCCGCATCATGGCAGGGAACCATCTCTGCAGTAACTGTTAGTGATCTAAAAAAATAAATTAATAATAAATCGCCAGCGAGGACAGGCTTAAGGAACAAAAAACACTGTCCCCCAATCCAATGTCCAGTAATTAAATTATACTGAGTCCGGCAGAGAAGCGCTGAGGTAGGACGGTAGGCTATAACACGGCCCCCTTCTACGTGACTCACGCTCCCCAGTAAAGTTCAGATTAATGGTTTTGCGGACACATAGTAAGCATGCTCGTATTTGCTCCCGCTCCTTTCACATACAGGTGCAGTTTTTCCCGGTATTAACTTCAGCCAGTGTTGTTGCACGTTTGTACGATTTTCATGCCTTTCCCACCAGGGCAGGCGGTATCCTGCCCACCGTCACCCCAAGCAACAAAAGCTGATAACTGCTTACAGCTCCATGCTGCCCCACCTGTACAGCCTCCCCTGGCATTGTTCAGGTGCGACAAGCCTCAACAAAAACTGAAGAGTCCCGTAACAGCAGCCGAAGAGCAGAGCTGCCTCTCTCATGCCTGCTCGTTAATCTGAAAGAGGCTTTTTTCCAAGAAACCCCATTGCATGGTCCACATGAGAACTCATACTCTGAAAGCATCTCTTCACAATGCGTACCAATCAAACCTACTAGCCAGTTACAAATGTACAAGCATGAAAGGACAGAGGACAAAGGCCCCACTGTATTATACAGAAGACATAATTCCAAATTGGCATGTAGATATCCAGAGGAACTAGAATTTAAACGCTCACTGATTATGCAGGGGTCAGCATTTACAGTAAAATTTTAATAATCCTCTTATTCGATAAAAGAATACATTAATCGACTACTTGGGCAAGACCTTAAAATATCGCATGAATGCATTTTAAAGTTTGTAAGTTGATGGAGTTATTCTCGGCAAGAAGTTCACAAATATTTAATATGGACTCGCTGGAAACGCTGTCATCAGATCTGAAAGGCTCATATGAAACCGTGAACACTCAACTGGTCTGCGGCACGTAAATGTCTGCGTGATTAGACAGGACAAGCACAACGTTGACGTATTTTTTAAGGATTTAAATGCCGGTTACGGCATGAGTAATTCCCTTCAAGATCGTGTCTTAAAGGAAGAAGCATAACAATCAAGAACAAACAGCATCTCCAGATAATTAACTCTATCAATTCTCAATCTTAAAACATTTGAATAGCGTGAAATATCCTGCAGTGATTTAAATACTGGTCAGATACTTAAAATGATCTCGCTAGGATTTAAATCCAGTAGCCAGTAAAGTGCAAATGGAAATGCTACAGTAAGTGACACTAACCCCACGGTTCGACTGGGGACGGACCAGCTAGCTAACAAGAATAACACGGCGTGTAGAAATTACTGGTGCCGTGCATTTAAAACTTTGATCAGATCAGTCTCTACTTGGGAAAGGCAAACCGCAGCGCATTTCCCGATCTGCTTCTTTGCCACCCGCGGGATTATCTTCCATACGGTCTCTATTGTTGTCGCCCGTTCCATCACCCGGTTAGTGCAACCATCAAAAACCAAATCAACAAATAAACCCGCAGCGTGATCTACAACGCGTAGATCCGCGATCCCACAACGAAGCGGGCATGCATTGTGGGGGAAAAGAAAAAACAAAGTTTGAACTGACCTCCAAGCGAAGTGAAGCGCAGGCTTTGAGGAACCCCCTTATGTTGCTCAGGCACTCGCTATCGGTCTTGGGATCATGGTAAACCTGTGCCAGGAGAAGAATGACGTCAGCGATCCCAAGGCGGACTTCCACTCCGCTGCTCGCCGTGCCGAGCCGAGCCGAGCCGTGCCGAGCGGTGCAGTGCAATCTCCGCTATCACCGAGCGTGCATCGCGGCTACGCGCTTCAAGCAGGTACCACCGAGCCTCCTGATACCTTTTCTTCTTCTCCTCGTCGGGAAGTCGATGCCGGAGAAAAGGAAATGACGTTTCCCCGTTATGAGCCAAGTAGGGAGATCTTTTTGCAGATTTTCCCCTTTTTGCGTCTAACAATAAGGAAATTTGAGGTTTGATATCAATGAAAGAAATTTGTAAATGCAAGTGGAGGATGCATTTAGGTTCTGTTTTATGTGCATGATAATGTGTTGTGCCTTTATATCACGGCAGTTTCAGAATCGCCGGAGGGGAGGGGGACGTTTGAATTGGCATCTCAGTAACTTTTAAATAAGTTGTATTTGCATTATAATTGAATTCTGTATACTAATCCAGCTTGTAGTGCTAAATGACAATAGTTGGTTAAATAATGTAAGCTGCGTTGCTTGGGTGACATATGAACCAGCGTAAATCCTTTCTAAGTCATTTAGTGTTTTTCAGCAGAAGCATTTACCATTTTTTAAAAATAGAAACGCACCTTCTTGTATCATTGCAACTTTGTAACATGTAGCCTTTATAGGTCTATCAGCTATTACCATAGCACATTCTGCCGCACTGTAACGTAACCCCAGTATCAGTTTTTAGGTATCATATAAATATCCATTCATTCATCCGTTTTCCAAATTGTGTATCCAGGTCACGTTCATTTGTCAGAGTATTGTACGATCGTGGGCTTCAATTACTTTCAAATATGATGCCAAAATAGATCCAAATAAATATGTAGTAATATGTGCATAACATAAATGTGTGTCTTAACGTTCATTTTACTTACATACTTTAGCATATGCAGTTAAAGCATAGATTTTGCCAGGAAATGTGCGATAAAAAAACAACATTTTAATGGTGTTATTGAGATACACAGGAGGTGTGCGTTTTGTGGTGGTTCAGGTGTTCCTGTAATTGTGACTTTGATTAAGTTTTTCTTTCCAGTAGATACAAAGAACCGTCAATCCCTATAAAACGCCGTGTACACAGGACTGAGAGGATTCATTTCTAATGTAACCTCATTGTTTGGATTTTTCTGTTGTAAAAAGATTTTGCATACGAATAAAAAAATAAATCCGATTCACCGATAAAGTAATATCACTGTCGTGCCAATATTTTGCAGAATTAACGTTGTTAATAATAATAATAATAATAATAATATAAAGAAGAAGACTATTCTAATACTTTATGTTTTATACTAGCATGTGTGCATACATGCAGCCTAATTACAGATTAAGTTTACAAGCTTAACATTTGCATGTCGTAAGGTGTTTTACTTACACTCCGAAAGCGCGATACCCTCTGTTTTATACCAAGGCAGGGCGTGTAACCTTTAGTGAAACGGTTCCTTTAAATGCACAAGGACAGTCTGGTCTGCGTGTTTTTCGCAGTCAATGGCGGCCCGCTCATGTGGGTTTCTTAATGTGTGCCAAAAAAATCAATAGTCCTGTTGATGTGACACAGATAATATGCATTGCTGTATTATGCTGTTGGGCTAAGATTGCAATTACTGATATCCTATAATCGTAAACAAATCTAATCCGTTTGATTTTCTGATTTAGCTTTATCTTTAATTAAGCACTAAAACAATAAATTGATACACTGAATAAATTATCCAGAAATGATTATATGAAAACTCAGGATTAGGTCTAACCTCGCTGAAGGACCTGTACAATTTTTCTATGATACAGTAACGTGAATATAATATTAATATAATTATTTTCATTTCTGCTTAGAAATGGATTATACGATAATTTTTAAAAGAAACATTTATCTGAAGATGCGCTTCTAAAATGTATCTATTATATGGCTTTATGCATATTATGGACTAAAACAGGAAGCAGCGGGAAGATACAGGCAAAAGGGATATCCTTACTTTTTCGATGTAGCCAGGACGCAACCGTTCAAGAAGCCTGCACAGCACTACCCCATCTTTGAGGGACGTTTGCAAGAATCCTTCAGGATCGGAGATGGTCTTTTTCGGTGATTCCAGGACCCCCAGTGAAATAAGCCATGTCACCGTCTGTTCTGCAGAATTCATTGTCACATTTGCGATGTGCACCCGACAATGGGTTAAATGGTGTCAATATGGATATGGGGAAAAGGTGGGTGGCTTGTTTGAATTAAAAAAATCCCCAAATCCGAACTACATCAGGCTCGGAATGCGTGCAATCCCCTTCCTTCATGCAAAGGCAAATGGCAATTAACATTTATATATATGCAGCAGCAGGATCAGCATCTTTTGCCGCTGTTTTTTTGCCAGGAAATTGTCAAATGCTGCCCTGATACACACTCAACCTGCATTATCCAGAGAGATCTCCCAGCAGATGACGACAGATGCGTGGAGAAGCAACGCGGCCACTTACGGTTGTGCTTCGGGGTGCAGATTTGCATTTCAGAGGAACATGATATTGTATTATGTCGACGTTTAGATTCACAGTGAAGTCCACGTCAGGTTAACACCAAATATATTTATTAAATGACTGTCTATTAAACTTATATGAAATGTGTCTTCTTTAATATTTTGTGTATGATAGACATTATTGAGATTTAACGCAGAATAACACTTAAATATTCTGTCTTTGTCTCTGTGAAGTATACGGTCTCCGCTCGTCTCTTAATTTTTAAGCTGTTGTTTGAACTCTAATTTGGGGTACAGGGTGGCTCAGGAGGTGGCGAATACGACCCCCGGCTGTATGTGTGTGTGTGTGAGTTTGCATGTTCCCCATGTGTGTCTGCAGGATTCCTCTGGATGCTTAGCTCCCCCCCCCCACCCCCACATTTGTGTCCCTAAATTCCCCTTAATATTTGAGTGCATGATCTTTTGGGTGTCCCATGCCTTGTACTCTCTGCTTCCAGAGATGGGCTCCAGCCTCACTGGACCCTGTATTAGATAAGCAATATGGAGTTTTGTCCCTTTAACAAAATAACAGTGCTATACCATACTACTGTCTATTGTAATCATAACAAACTGCATGATAAATCAGCTGAAGCTGAATTATCTTTCATACTCTCATTTAAGATGCACAATTTAGAACTTTCGTATTTGCACAAATGTAATATATTATTTTTCACTGTGAGAAGGTGGACATTATAAAATTTTCACCTCATTAATAAATAGGTCGGCTAATCCACTAAATCATAACCTGTACCCGTTACACTGTGGGATTCAAACCTGGCTTGTGCACCACTGCACTGTAGAATTGCAAAAGATATTTAAGATAATAAGTTAACAAATATATACAAATTTTCCTCCAGTTAAATGAGTTGCCACAATTAAAAATAAGCATCTACATGCTTTCAGAATGTTCCCTAGAGAGCGGCTTTCTGTGCTTTGTGATGGACTGGGATCCAAGAGTTACCTCTGCTGTTATCTCTATGCTGCCCCACCAAGACTCAAATCTCATATATAAATTTGAAATGAGGTCCACAAAAATAAAAACTAATAACCACCTTCATTTTTCGTCTTGGCGTGATCCAAAAGTGGAAGTAAAAAGGCCTCATATATGAATGAAAAACATTACATTGAAAGGATAAATTGTACGGAATTAAGGAGCCTGTAAAAACAACAGCAAGCAGAGACATTCAGAAAATCACTTATGCCAGACTGGGCAGGCCATTGTCAGGTCTGTCATTGTTTGTTTACCTCAAAGCAAACTCAACTTGAGGCCTCCTTTCCAGACAGGCAGCTGGTGAGTAATGGTAATCAGCCTGATTTCAAACCGGAGCTCAACCTGATGCTCTGCGAATCTGCTGGATCACATGGCGCAATCCAGAAAGTCCATCATGTGACCAGAGGCTCCATCTGGCATCTCCTGCACAGACCGCCCTTACGTGACGCTCTATTCCACAAAGTCTTCAGGCCAGGCAGACCCATCTGCTTCTTTCTGTCAAGGACAGAACCTGCTTTACATTTTGATGTGACATGATTTTTCTTCCCAGTCCAGAAAATGAGCGTTTATTTTATTAGATTCCTTGTATTTCGTTGTAACTCCCCACTCTGTCTATTTGCTACACCAATTGTGCATTCCAGGGGTAAAGGCCCTTTAAGAGTTCAAAATAATATATCATAAATACAAGGACTAAAGGAGTCATAGTATATGTTTAGTGTAATATAACATTTTAGACACACCCCTGCTCACAATGGGCTGCACAATGATTGGTCGCCCCTTCAAACCAAACCTGCCATCATTCACCCTCACACACTCATGTGCTCCCCCTAGTGTCTCGGTTCCAGAACCTCTTCCTCTCCCCTTAGGGCTGCCCCTGCCTGTTATTCACACTCACACACTCATGTGCTCCCCCTAGTGTCTCGGTTCCAGAACCTCTTCCTCTCCCCTTAGGGCTGCCCCTGCCTCTTATGCTGTCTGTTAGGTTTTTTTTAGACCAAGTTGCCTTCTGGCTGGATATTAGTTTACCTCTAAATCTGACTAATCCTCTTATCACACTTCTATATGCGGGCTGTTTTCATGGTCATTGTGCTTATATGTTTGGCACAATTTCACTCTACCTTGTAGCATGGCTGGTGAGTTGTTTCTGCTTCTGAAATGCGGCCAGATCATTGTGTCAATACCAGTGGCTGTAATGCCTAAGTCCAACAGCAGAGGGCAGCAAAACAATCTGTAAAATGTTTCCGTTTATTTCACAACCGACATTCAGTGACTTCACAGTAGATCTGTTACTTGTATGTATATATGCCTCTAAACACCTTTAAGCAACGTTATTTTAAGAATGACTTTAAGTTGCTTTCAATGGTCTTTTCTTTGCGTTGTGACCTCTTCCTCATATATGAATAACATACTGAAAATGTCTACTTGGAACATGCAATCCCCTCTAAGCCATACAGTATGCGATATCTTTATTGGCCTGACCTAAACATGAAATGAAACAAGAAGCATTTCAGCAGTCAGATGTCCAGATTGTTTTGGTCCCTTGAAATTGAGGATCTATGGCAGATGCACAGTCTACATACCCCTATTAAAACAGCAGGTTTCTGTTTTGTACAAAAAAGACGACACTAAGAAATCATCTCAGATCTTTTTCCACCTTTTGCATCCAACAAAATTCAAAACCAAGTTACATAACTGTTACAATCAGGCTGATCAGGAGAGGGTTTTAACAGGATTGTGTTGACTTTTGAGATCCACTGTATGCATAAAAATGATCCCAGTTCCTATGCATTTCTTTCAATATTCAAATTCAAGATGTTGATGTACAAAGCCTAAAGAGCTTAAAATGTGTAGCTGTCCAAATATTTATGTTTTGCATTGCATATATGTGACTGCAGTCTGCTAATGGGTTAGCATGAGTGTTTTTACACTGCAATAAGCACTTCAAAGAGGTTGTGTTTTTTTAGGACCATTGTTTAACGCACACAGGCGAGGTACCAGCCACTCTGCCAAATCACACGCTGCTGAACAGTCTTAACCAGCTGAGTATGAAGAGTCTCATTCACAGATACTCAACTGGTTGGTTGAAACAAAATCTTGGTCTGGATTTGTACTTTCTGGACCTGAACTTTCCACGTCTGCAACAAACTCAGAGAAGCTTGATAGGGGGCTGGATGATGAGTATATGGCTGGCCATTTCAGTACAGTGCCTTGTTTGCTGGTCTCACTTGGGTACTTGTGCCTCAGTCACTACAGTCATCATTATTGGAGAGAAAGGCAATTTGATTGTCACTCTCCAATCAATCAGCCCCATTGTAACTATTTCATCGTAAAATTGCTGTGCGTTAATTAAATGTCAGTAAGTTTTACTGGTCTCCTTCCTCTGCTAGCCTGCTACTGCTCACCAACTGAGAACTGCACTTTTGAAAAGATGATGAGCAAAACATCTACTGTAGATGCCGTCAGCTTCTATGGATCAGCGGGGATGTGGGTGGGGTGGGACAGCAGCTCTGGCACAATGGTGTCACAACCAGGAATGAAGCGCAGGATGAATTTATACCGCTGGAGCCTGGAGGATCAGCAGCTACAGCAATCTGGGCTGAGTGTTTGGATGCCCCAGGCAAGGCTGTGAGCGCCTGGAGGTCTATGACCATCAGGATACAGGGACAGAACTCTACCTACTGGAGTTTAAGGCAATAAGCTGGTCCAAGCAATGTTCGAATTTCAAAGACCCAACCACAGAAACTGAGGTATATACACACGTATGTATGTGTGTCTGTGTGTATATAATGTGTTGAATTGCCTTTATAAACCCCACAATCGCAATGGCAGACATACAGCACATACATTTCTCAGTGTTCAGGGTGAGGTGGTGTCTGGCTAGTACCTGATGCACCCTGTGTAGAGGCCCATCGTGGCCCATTCATGCACAACTATCTCATCAAAGTACAGACCCACCACAGGGCTGGCAGATCAGGAGGCTGCTGGGGGCAGAGCTAAGCCAGAAAGCGATCTGCATGGACCAGAACTCTCTAGCGCAGGGTTATTCAAGTCACTGTCCTCAGGGTCCAAGCCCTGCTGGTTTTCCAGCTTTCCTTTACCTGTGAGCCGGGTATGAAGCCTCTGACCAATCAGAATCAGTAACTATTAAACTAACTACCTGGGAGAATTGAAAACAAGGCATGGATTTGGAATTTGAGGTCCAGATTTGAAGATACCTGCTCTAGCGTGAGTCACAGAAGTGTTTAGTCCCTACTGCTGTGGTGTACAGATATCTCTGACAAACTTCAGTTTTGTGAAGACAGGCATAGAACTAATTTTATTTCTCTGTAGGGAGGGGATAAATTTCACCACAATCAAACAATCAATTAAGCAAAGGGATACTTAGGAAAGTGCCACCTCACTTTTCAGTTGTAATTAACATCCGTTACCTTTTGTATAAGTGAAAAGTTACTGTGCATTAAATGTGCTCTCCCCTTTAAAGTTGATTCTTTAGAGTCCATCTTCTTTTGTTTGTACCATGTGTCCTGTTCCTTAGCTGAAAATTAGTTGAATGGGTTGTGTTAAATGAGGGGAAACCCAACAATGTGCAGAGCTCCAGCCCGCGGACTGAATTTGGGCACCCCCTCGAGGACAGGGTGCCCCGAGCTTGAGCCCAAACGCCCATATGGTTAATCCAGGCCAGTACACAGCCCCCTACATGTGACCAATCAGAAAGCTGGAGATCCTTGTACTGGTGATGACAGTCTGCCACTGAAGCTGATGATCCATTCCAAGGTTAAATGAAGGACATTAGATATTAACATTCTAACATTCCCTCTCCGGGGCTGCATTTACACCTAGAAGTCCAGGTGCTGCTATTTCCTGGGCAAAAAAAAACATAATTTATTCAGTATTAGAGGTAAGAGAGAATGCACACCAGTGCACCCGGTAACACTTGATGACTTAACCGTTCTTACTTTAAATATACAGTATTTTAATCATAACTGATAGGCTTTGTGCAGTACACTCTCTCTGAGTCTCTCTCTCCTCCCAAATTGTCCCATAGTCAGGAAAACGCAAACAAATCTCACTGTTACAAATGTTTTCACAGTTCAATACATCTGAAGAAACTGCGTTATTCTTTGTCTTTCAGGTATATCGGCCACCTATCAGACTTCATTCTGAAATCTTGTCGGACGAGCATAAATATGAACGCTTTCTTTGTCGCGGCGCTTTAGAGAAACGTGACCGACGCTTCAGAGTGACGCGTTGTTTTCTAGGCGCTTTAGAACAACGTAGGCTTGTTTGGCGCTTTAGAGTGACGTTAGATTTTGACCATCTTTGTTCGAGCTAAAGGAGGGCTGTCGGTGCGTCTGTATCTGGGGTAAGCTAAGTAACCGCTACTACCTCGTATAACAAAATAATTACCAGAAAGATATGCCGGCGTATGTGACATATTTTATACAATGTAACGCTATGAGTGTTTGTTAAATGTGGTTTTAACAGTGTTGCTGTTGTAGTATATATAGGTATATGTAATTAAAATGGGCGCGGTATTAATACTGCACGATGCAGAAGTTCATCGCTGTAAGTAACCGGTAAAAACTAAATATTTCAGTTAGAATAATACATATGTCCGTAGGCAAGTCTTTTTGTTTTAGGTTAATTTTCTTGCTGTTAGCAGGGTTAGGCGCAGAATCTGGACCTTGGTGTACCGTAACCATGGCGCTGTGTGTTGCATACATCCTCTCAGTAGTAACATCGCTCGTCAAAATCAATTTAAGGTTGTGTCTAAGTACAGATTCTCAAGTATTGCATATAAACGCCACAGAACATGGGCGGTCACCAAATGTAATGAGATATACGCTGTATTGAATGGCGAATGGGATATTCCTCAAGGTGGCTGGATTATTGTGTCTTGCTTTTCAGTTGCCGAACAAGAGTTCAACCTTAAGTTTTATTTTTAAAAACATTCAGCCCACCCATGAGAAGTATTTGAAATCCGGCACATTAGTTTCCCTGTCTTCCCATTCCCTCTTACTGTCTTATAAAACGTTTACATGGATGCTACATTTTTAACAAATTTGACGTCTGTCAACCCGTAAGGTTGTACTTAATTCATCCGATGTTATGTGCTGAATTGATAATAGTGAGTTTTTACATTCCGAGTAAACTTGTTGCTCTGAGATTTTTGTTGTATTCTTTACATATCCTTGTGCGCCAAAACAAGCAGGTATGAGCAGTTTCTCCCCACAAGCTGTCGTTCTTATGAACAGCTGACCCGGTTGACTTCGGTCAGTTGCTTTAATTTCTTTTTACTGCTCTGCCGATCTGTAGAGTTTTTGACTTAAACCCGCATGTCCCTGTAATCTTATTCATTAATTCATACTCAGAGTGTCCCTTGCTTTTTTAGGACATTTCTTTTTCCCACAACTGTGACGTCCCGACTTTTATGTCAATTCTTAGAATACAAGCATATACACTTCTTGCCGATTCTTGCGTTTGGCTACTTCATGTGTAAGTGAAAGCATCTGCTGTCATGGTAATCTCCTTCAGACATAACTCTTAATACTAATTAACTAATTAATACTACCTTTTCACAGGCCATATGTGTATAATAAAGAACAAATGAACTGTGATCATTACATACATGGGTTATGGTATTTGACGTGACCGGCCAGTCATCTTCTGTAATCTGAACTTTATAGCCGACGTTTTGTCTTTCTGTCAGCCGCTGGAGGTAATGGCGAGTCAGTCGATGGACATTGTGGCCAAGGTGCTGGAGCAGCAGGTGCTCCAGTCGGCGAGGCTGGTGGAGGAGCAGCTGGATGCAGAGCTGGAGAAGCTGGATAGACTAGATGAGGATGAGCTGGAGAAGCTGAAGGAGAGGAGGCTGGAAGCCCTCAAGAAAGCCCAGAAGCAAAAGCAGGTAACGCAGTTACAGCACGAAGAGTCTTTGTGTTTCCTAGAGGCCGACCTTCTTTGTTTTTAGGCAGCTTGCAATTCAATACGAGCTTAGAGGCTCTGAACTGTCATTGGATAGCACACTTCTTGGCCTCGTAGACCTTGTCCAATCACTCTCAATAATGAAAAAGCTCATGTTCCAGCAGCACATGTTTTGCACACCACTCTGATGTTAAATCAGGGTTACAGAGTAGCACAAAAATTGGTTAAGGGTTGAGTAGTAAATTATCTGGTAGAATAGAAAGTCATTAAAACCAATATGCTTGTTGTTGAAAAGTTGGCAATCTTTGCTTTTTAAGGAATGGCTCTCAAAAGGACATGGTGAATACAGAGAGATTCCCAGTGAGAAGGATTTCTTTGCTGAGGTTAAAGAAAGCAAGAACGTTGTTTGCCATTTCTACAGAGACTCTACTTTCAGGTATGTGCTTATGCCTCTGGTAATTTGTTTACCTCATTGTATAGCTCTCATTAAATAATTATTTGTAAAACCATGGGGTGGCGTGTGACTCTGCACCGGTGATCAGAAGGTTGTTAGTTCAAATACCATGGTTGTCAGTGATGCCACCATCAGTCCCTTGACCGAGGTGCTTATCACCAGCTGCTCCAGGTTGCCGGCCGACCCTGTGCTGTCACCCCAAAACTTGGTCTCAGCTATGTCTGTTCTATTCCGTTCTATTGTTATCAAAGGTGTAAAATCCTAGACAAGCACCTTGCCATCCTGGCAAAGAAGCACCTGGAGACAAAGTTCATTAAACTCAACGTGGAGAAGGCGCCATTTCTCACTGAGCGCCTGCGGATCAAGATCATCCCTACCATGGCTTTGGTCAAGGATGGCAAGACCAAGGACTACGTGGTTGGATTCACAGACCTGGGGAACACGGACGAGTTTTCCACAGAGATGCTGGAATGGCGGTTGGGCTGCTCAGATATAATTAATTACAGGTAACTCGTTTAGAAAATGCACAAAGGAATCAGAGTTTGTAACTAAAAAGCAAAGTGTTTTTACTTTAAAGTTAAGTTGTTTAATGCAGTGTTACATGGTGGTGCAGTGGTTAGCACTGTTGCCTCATACCTCTGGGATCAGGGTTCAAGTCTCCACCTGGGTTACATGTGTGTGGAGTTTGCGTGTTCTCCCCGTGTTGTCGTGGGGTTTCCTCCGGGTACTCCGGTTTCCCCCCACAGTCCAAAGACATGCTGAGGCTGATTGGAGTTACTAAATTGCCCATAGGTGTGCATGTGTGAGTGAATGGTGTGTGAATGTGCCCTGCAATGGGCTGGCCCCCCGATCCTGGGTTGTTCCCCGCCTCATGCCTGTAGCATCTGGGATAGGCTCCAAACCCCCCCCCCCCCCCCCCCCCCCGCCACGACCCAGAAGGATAAGCAGTTTAGAAAATCGATGGATATGTATTTTGTTTTCATTTCAGATCAGTTTAGTTTTTAGTTAAAATATGGTTTTATTAGTTAATATTTTATAAATACTTATATAGTTTCTGTATATTAGTTTCAGTTTAAGTTAGTCATTTTATTTCTAGGTTTAGACTGAAAGTTGTGGAGCTATTTTATATGCATAATCTTTAGAGAATCCTACATGAAAACACTTCACATTATGTACTGATATCCACAAATTGGGCAAAACAAGTTCAAGGTATTAAAGCTCATGTAAAGGCAATATACTGAATTATATTTCCCTGAATGACTTCAATCAAGAAGAAAAGATAAACATTTAGCTAAGAAGTATTTTAAAACAGTACTGGAAATTTTATGTTTATTTTCATTAAATTTTCAAAAGAATAATTCGTTTTTGTTTAGGTGTATTTTTAATTTATTTCAGTTTATGAAAATGTTTTCTTATAGTTTTGCTTTGTTAGCAATAACACTGATTTAATGTTAAATCTTCAAAAAATGTATAAATCTCCCTTGACATGTGATGACATACGCCACCTTTTCTTGTAGATCCGTTAATTTGCCTTTTCTTTGTTCTCAGCGGCAATCTGTTGGAACCCCCTACAGCTGCTCAAAAGTCCAGCTCAAAGTTCACCAAGGTAGACAAGAAGACAATCCGAGGGAAAGGATATGATTCGGACTCTGAATCCGACGATGATTAGGGGCTGTTTCCTGCACAATCTCTTCTCAGGACTTCCTTTAGTCAGTCCTTAAAACCCAAACTAAACCACAGATTGATTCAAGTATTTTTAACTATCATTTTTTTTTCCTTTCTGTGTTTCCCCCATATCTTCCCCATTTTTTTTCATGCCAAGTGTCATTTGCCCATATATAAAGGAACTTTTTGTTGGATTGATGCTGGGTTCTTGAAGAAATTCAACTAGCTCTGGACAACAAATAAGTGCCAAGGAAGCTCTCTTCCACTCTTTGCCATGTGTTGGTGCAGTAACACAGGTCTGAGTTTTTCTATGAAGATACTTTATCTTAATAAATCACTTAGAATTGGCTATTTGGCTCTTTGTTCAATACATAATTCATTTTAAATGGTCTCCATTGAGATCTACAGGATAACTTCCACACAAAAGGTTAAACTCATCACATGAACTTTATTCACACCTATTTAAATACTTGCAATGTTTACTACAAAAAAAGCTCTAAACGGAACTTTTAAGGGTTAATTTTACAAGAGCAGTGTATGTGGCATAATGGGCTATGACTCCAGAGCCTTCTGTTCCGACGGTTTGAGGCATCGTTGAATGACCAGTTCTCCCGTGCTGCTTAAGAAAGTGTATGCCATTTCCCCTTCAGCAGGCAGGCCATGAGGGAGCTTCAGCGGCTGTATCCTGGGTATGAGGTAATGACACTTTACAAATCAAATTCATTAAAAAGCGAATGATCAACACGAAATTGGTATAGAGATTAATCACATGGGTCTACTTCAATGCCAAGTATAAAACATTTTTAAATTATCTAAATTGCTAATAATAACACTGGTAAATTCTTTACTTTTTGTCATGAATCAAAACAGGTGATTTTTTTTGCTGAATTCATATATCTAATTCCTACAAGGACTTTGACGCTATATATATATATATATATTGACAGTATATGTGCATGATGGAAGAGACTGTTCTACATGATTTTCCACTTGGCTTGAAGAGCATCATCTGGCAAGATGATGGGTTACAGAGGGAGCAGCATCCTGTGTCAACATGTCCAAATGTGTTACAGCCTGTAAAGTCTGGCAAAACAGACTTACAGTATAAAATATTTTTTCCTAAAGTAAACTTTAATATACCCACACATTCCTAATACAGATGACTAAAAATGACATCTATCAAAAACTATGGCTGATAAAATTGACAAAATCTTTGTTGAGCAGTGTAATTTTTAGAAAAACATGAATCGGTAATCTAGCCAGTTGAACTGCTATGGATTACTTGATTCTGTATCATTCTACCAACATAATACTTGAATATACTGATATTTAGTTCGAACAAGTGTAATTGTGTTAAAATGAGGGGGGAAAATCCCACAAAACACCCTTCCTTACAAATCCATGACGTAACGACTTACTTGACTAGGTGCTTTATAATTTTCAGTTTTTCGTTAACAGACGGAATGTTCTTGTGAACACGCGGCGAATGGGACTGAAAAGGAAAGGATGCATTTTCAGTGTCACAGACCGGTGCTTCGATGTACGCACAGTGGCTGCAATTAGCGCGAGGGATAAAAACCTTTCCGAGACCGAAGTCTTCAATGATTTTCTTCTCCCAATAAGGACGTCGCTTTACGCTCTTGATCCGCGTAATAACGTGTAGTTTGTGCGGCAGCTCCGGGTCCCCTCCGTATTTTTCATGCTCCTTAGCTCGTTCTTCAAACACCTGAACGTACGAGGCAATTATTTGCTGTTATTTGTTTTTAAATTCATCATGCATATCACAAATTTCCTATATTACATCATTTCATAACACATGATCTCAATATTTTTTCTGAGTTATGACTGAACTCTTCCATACCTCTTTTGGAATACGAGATTTGGTGAATTTGCTGCGTGTTAAGACTATCCATGGAAATAATGTCGTTTCCACCAAATTCTGGGGAGAAAAACCTGAGAGTTAATCAGAATTCAAAATATAACGTTCGAGTCTGATGCAAAACACCTTTAAGTTTAAAACGCGAACAAAATTTTAATGTAAAACCACCACAGTTTCGTCTATAGCAGGGCCATTTCTTTAACATTTTGTAACCCAAACGGATGGACTGTATTTATCGGTCCAGAGATGTGTAGATCCCTTTCATTCATTTTGACCTTACCGTGCTAAACGCAGATGGTCTCTGAATTACTTTGCAGAGCCAGGCCATTGTGCTACTGCTGCCAAGGCAGATCCAAACGAGCCTTTTGCGCTGTCTTTCTATGTAATAATTACGTATGGGAATGCCAAAAAAGAAGATAAAAACAGATATTAAAACATTACGCTAAGCATTCCGACACGCCACAGGACACTAAACGATGCGTCCGTCCCGTTTCTACTCCCGACCTGAAATATTTGCTCCAGACTTCGAAACTACGTTCCTATAAATATGTAGGCTACGGTATTTAGACTGGGAGCAGATCCCGATCTGAAATAACAAAATAAAACAAAACTGTTATGCATTTTACGTCGCTTAAACTTCAATTAAACCTCTCATCAAGTTACTTAAAAACAACTAAACTAAATAAATGCAGTTGTTTGCTCCGCGTTTCCAGTGGGTATTATTATTGTGTTGCAAAGTATAGAACAGTGAAAATGAAATGTGACTTTTTAAAATTATTTTTAATTATTTAAAAATATTTTTATATATTGGCCAATACAATTAATTAGTTTATTCTTTTATATCTAGGATCACTCAAAGCGTAGTTTCCACGAGTCGATTCGGAAAGCGTTCTCCTTGTAGCAGAAATATAATCAGGAAAGAGAGAGAAGGTTAAAAGATAACTTCACGGACCTTGATGAGATCAAGAAAAAAAATACTGAAATGGGGCGGTGGAGCCCATACTCAGTCTGTATCACTACAGTTAAAAGAGACGGTGAATGTTTGGAGTGCATTGACCAAAATGACCAAAAACGGATAAAGTACACTTCAGTTGCTATCGACTGAAATATATCGGCTACATCCGTCCATCTTCTAATGGTCATCTGGCATACTCGTCGTTTTCCCGGTCGACCAATGGGTATGTGGGTTAGCAAAATTTTTCGTGGAGGAACCCCAAAAGTCCGGGGGTGATTTTCAATCGCAGTCTAGGCCTGGGTACATCACAGATAGGATGCAACTCCAAATACACCCACTCATACAGTCATGTTTTAGCTTAATTGTAGAGACTCCAATCAGCATAAGTCCGTGTCTTAGGACAGTAGGAGGAAATCTGGGTATCCAAAGGAAAGCCACAGAACACAGTGAGACCATGCAAAAGTCGAACCAACAATCCTGTGTGCGGCAACAGCGCCACCGATTGAGCCAATGTGAAATGGCTGCAATGGCTGCATCTGATTTGCACTTAAATATTTAATATAATCTGATACACCTTTAAGGGAAAGTGATTAATGTCCCAAAAATATTTTATGGATATCCTGAGGTTATTTAATTCTGAACTTAACATAATTAATTAGGCCTATAGGCCTATTACCTGAGGTTGGTAAGTGAGATAGGCCTATAAAATTGCAGTACTAAATTTCAGCCACAAGATGGTGGACTTAGTGTGAATAGAAGTTTATTGTTCACACATTAATCTGAGGGGCAGGCTCCGATATAAAATATTCAAGGAACCCCAGCGAAATAGTTATTTCTCCTAGTTAATACATTTTAATTAATCCGTTTCTTAATACATAACTCAATTTTAAGTACTAAAATGTTTCCAACATCCTGTTATATTATATGAAAATAAATTCTTAATTTAAAGCCAGTCATTTAACCAAAACGTCGGTAAGCTATAGTTTGAAGTCAAAATAGCCTATTTCGAGCTGGAGATCTAAGGTAAGGTAGGTGGCCAGTCAAGCTTTCAATGGGTCCTATATATTAAAAATGCTTTATAGCCTACGTGATCGACGTACCAGAACAATTAGTAATATAATGCTTTTCTAAGTACAATTAGTAAGTTACTAATGCATTTTAAAATAATATAATCACGTACTGCCATGCCTCATATGTATTTAGTAATGTAAAATGTAATTCGTAGCCTAATTATAGCCTATTACTTTGAAACCCACAGACAATATGTCTATATGAAAGTATGTCTTTGTCAACCAAGGACCAAACCAAGATACAAGTAATGTTAGCGTGGTATTCACGACAGCTGTGGAATTCTGAATAGCAATATTACGCAAGGAAATGTAAAGAAAACGAGCTTGCGATTTTCCTGGGATGTATCTCTGACGTAGGGAAGAAAGTGACACCTATTTAGCTTATACCTCTTCCTGACAGCTACTTGGGTGAACTCAGTTCAATAACTGGCTGCTGGTGGCAAAATCACTGCGGTTGATCGGTGCTTGGAGAAAGCTGCATACAATATATACCGCTGGTCTGTCATCTTCCCCACCAGCGTCACTTCGCAGTGGTGAAGCGATCCCACGGATTTTTGCGACTGGGAAGCGCGATATCGGCGGGGGCTTATAACTGTTCACAATATCCTACAGTAGTTCTGGAAGGAAAAACAAAAAAAGAAAAACATCTGCTAGGAGATCAGCACCTTGAAAACAGCTGAAATGAAATGAGGCTCAGAAATGCATCGGCTGCCATCGTGGTTATGTTCCTTTCCAGTTTTCTCAGCCTGTCTTGGTACACAGCCTGGCAAAATGGAAAAGGTAATGCACGGCGGTTTCTGTTTTGTTTTATACTTACTGTCACTTCGAACAGTGAGTCAGTGACATATCTGCTGCTGCTGATACAAAGAACAGCATTCATTGGAGACCCTATTCTTATCAGTGTCTGTACTGTACCGGGACGCACGTGTGCGATGTGGCCCAGTGTGGGATGCCGGAGGCGGCGCGGATCGAAGGCTGTAAGCATGTGGTCGCGCTGTTACTCAGAAAGGGAAATCTGATTTGGGGAAAAAAAAAGTTTCGCATGGACTACTTGATAAGAAAGTGTCTGCTTATCGTAAATGCAGAAACATAAATCGTCTATCTGGGTTACGTTTAAATTTGTCCAAAGTATGTAAAAGTTGTAATGCAGGCATCCGAATAAGTAGGCTATGTAGTCTGTGAAATATATTAAATATATAAAGTACAGTAGGTCGTGTGACGAAACGGGTGACTGTGGTAACAGTTGATTATCATGAGGTGTGAATATAATCCTCACAGAGGTTTTGATGGATCTCTTTAGTCTATAAGGCGTTATAACGGGGTTTCAGTCGAATTACAACAGTATGAGAGAAAAGGGAATAATAGTTCAAGGCTGTTAAACAAGGGCGTTGGAGAGAGTGTGACACTGGGGGGGCCCAACATAATAATTTAAATATAAAGGTTTGTTTATTGAGTGGGGATGAAAGAATCAAGTTAAATATTGGGGGTATCCTCCGTTGGCAGTCCCACAATATTGATAGGGACATGTCCTTACCATCCATACCCACGTCTAGGCCCTTCCCAGTTAGCAATTTTTGATTACAGAAATTGTCCCTGAAGGTTTGTTTGGTTGTCCTATGGTTAGTTTTTAGTTCAAAACAAAGTTTGGAGAACATTCTCTAAATGTTATGAGAAAACTAACCACAGAAGAAGCATAAGCTAATATTAGTTGAATATTCTGTGCTTGCTGGGTTGCTGCATATACATGGAGAACATGGAAAACTTGCTCACTGCAGGTCAGACGGTAGAGTGTACGAGCGCCAAGAGCGATCTCCACCTGTAGCTGGAACCTTACTCAGACTCATCCTGTAGGGACACAACAGCAATATAATAACTAAAAAAAATATGCAAAAGACCGATACTTGCACCAGAAAAAAACAAAAGCATTGAAAGTAAGAAAATGAAATGCTTAATTTTTAGATTTTTTTTAATAACCTGATTAGTACACCAGTTTCACTTAAATTTAGTGGTTGTGTCTTTGCTCCTTGACAGTTTTCAGTCCAACAGCTGAAGTTCTGTCAAAGTGGAGAGGGCTGAGAATTTTTTTTTAACAGGGAAGAATATCAGTGAAAAGCATCTTACACTCCTGTCTTGTATTCCTGCATTTTTATTTCTTATAGAAGATACTTTTACACACACACACACAAACACACACACACACGCACGTTTGTATTCATGTCTTTGTGGGGACTCTCCATTAATTTCTTTGGGCAAAACCCTAACCCCAACAATGATGACCTTTACCCTAGCAAGTCCTAATCTTAACTATTAGTAACCAAACACAATACAACCAACTGCCCATCCATCCATTTGCTGAAACCTCTTGTCCTATTCAGGGTTGGGGGGGGGGCGGACTCTGGAGCCTTTGGGCATAAGGCAGAGAACTACCCAGGAAGGGGCACCAACCCATCACAGGGCACAAGGCAGAGAACTACCCAGGATGGGGCACCAACCCATCACAGGGCACATATACATCATTCACAGCTACAAGCGATTTGGTAACTCCAATTAACCTCAACATGTTTTCGGACTGTGGGGAGAACCCGGAGTCCCTGCAGGAAACCCCACGACGACACAGGGAGAACATGCAAAGTCCACACACTTAGAGCCAATTAAGGCGGAGCCTGGAACCCTGGTCCCAGAGCTGTGAGACAACAGCGCCATTGTTCCCCCACAACACTTTTGGCATTTTTAGGTTTTTGATTGGGGACCAAAAAGGTGGACCCTACAGCATCAAAATAAGTTTTTTATCAATGTAATATATACGTGACCACACACACATACACACACACACACACATACACACACACGCACATGTACGGTAAACATATCCTTATGGGGACCGCTCATTCATTTCAATGGGAAAAATGCTAACGCTAACTATGACAACCTTAACCCCTACCCAGCCCTAACCATAACTATAAGTAACCTAACAAAATACAAGAGTTTTAGCATTTTTAGTTTTTTCATAGCAGTCACCGATTTTTATAAAATAGAGTTTTCCCTTATGGGGACCAGGAAACCGGTCCACATTAGGGGAAAAAAACGATATTTATGACAACCTTAACCCTTACCCTGCCCTAACCATAACCATAAGTAAACTAACAAAATACAAGAGTTTTAGCATTTTTAGTTTTTTCATAGCAGTCACCGATTTTTATAAAATAGAGTTTTCCCTTATGGGGACCAGGAAACCGGTCCCCATAAGGGAAAAAAACGGATATTTATCACGTTATGGGGACATAATGTCCCCATAAGGATAGGTAAACCCGCTCGCACACACACACACACATATGCACTCACACACAATATATTATTGTTATTATTATTATTATTAGTAGTAGTTGTTGTAGTAGTAGCAATAATAATGATAATATATTTATTGATTGATTGATTGATTGACAAATCCTCAGATGTGCTGTTGCATTAATGCGACCATACAGAATGAATGAAGTTTATTATTGGCTTTGTAAGGTCTGTGTGAAATAAACGATATATTGACTTATCGTCAGCAGATGTAAACCAGAAGAAAATGAGAAACTTCACTATACTGTTCATAAGAAAGAAACTTTGCTTGATACCACACATCACAGAAAGTCAGAAACAAACGCAATTCAAACACGCAATTCACACGGTAGAGGAGACAGCCTACACCAAACACCCAGCAAGCTTTATCGAATTAGCGGAGCAAAGCATATGCTGCTGTTTTGGTAACATCAAGGAACAGATAAGCGCTTCCTCCTTGTCGGTGAAGAAAGGGACAGTACACTACCTCTTTTGAAAGTATATATGTGTCAACAAGTTAAAAAAGACGTTGGTGGTATAGTGGTTCTTTTTGAAGTTTAAAGTCCATCAGACTGGTGTCGTGTAGCGTGAACTCTGCTGAAAACTTGTAACTAAAACTGGAAATACTGGCAACTCATTTCACCACTTGAAGCACTGCCATCCAGTATAAATACAGATTGCAAGTCTACACACACCAGCAATTTTGGATTTGCACTTTCAATCTGAGGAAATACAGGACAAACCGTCTCCTGTATTGTTTAACGGGACAAAGCATTTTATTTTTCATTGCGGGACGGGTGACAACAAGGGTCATTATTGTTCACCATAACAATAAGAAACCATATGAAAATAAACTAAATGAAAACTAAAAATAGGGTATTGCTTTGTAACTAATTGAAACCACATAATTTACTCCGGGATCAATAAAGTATTCTGAATCTGAATTCTGAATCTGAATTCTGAATCTGAATTCTGAATCTGAATTCTGAATCTGAATCTGAATTCTGAATCTGAATGAAATAAAAGAAAACCAAAGGTCAAATGCTTTCCATTACAATTCTTACTAATACTTACTGAATCAGTTGATTTGTTTACTCTTTAATGAACATTAGTAATACCTGTAACATGTTTTGCCCACTTTGAGGACACAAGCACCACATATTGTGCATATTGTGCATATGTAGGATTTTCTAAAGATCAGACAGATATGCAGGCCTGTCTTTAAAATACAAACAAATAAAACCGCAGTGAAAACCAAAACTAAACTGGATTTCAAATGCAAAATCGAAAATTATATAAAAATAAAAACAAAATAAAAAATTAAATCTATTATAACACTGGTGACAACTCTATCAGTAAAGTTAGACCCATTTCCTGTAATGACAGTTAAGGTAGTCAGAGAAAAACACAGCAACAAAGCGTACTGTCTGCTTTATCTAGTGTTATCGCCCAGGGCAATCAAGTTTATTTTTATGGTTTATTTATTAAAATTGGATTTCATTTTCCAGTACATTCAATTATCTTTTTCATGTTTCTCTGTTTAAGGGCAATTCTAATGGAATTTGAAGCAAATATGCAGCCTTGAAGTAAAGAGATAATTACTTGAATTGTATTGTGCTAATTATTGATTTTGACTGATATGGAAAAAAATGATTGTGATAAATTATTTTGCCATATCGCCCAACCCTACTCTGGAGGTCCAAGGTCGACTGACTACCCAACGCCCCTGGGCGTGCTGACATTCTAGAGCAGGGGTCTCCAACTCCGGTCCTGGAGAGCTACTATTACAGCCAAGGGAGAGTCTTGGGCGAAAAGCCCTTTGTTGTTATGTAACAATCCATGTGACCATCCACTGGCCAAATGCTGACCGAACACAAGGGACAGGGACAGACAAGCGCCGACTCAGACACTCTGTGGTTCTTGGGAGTTTCCCTGATGCCCCTGGGTTTCTGAGCATTTATGAAGTAATTGGCTTTTCTAATGATATGTGTGTTTTGATTGAGGCTGTCCATTGTCAATGAAACCTCGTGCGGATTCTCAGTGTTTGCTGGGTGCTGGAGGTCTAGAAGGAACTGGGTGAAATGTATGTACTTCTTGGCATGGAATGAGTATATATGTTCAATAAATCATTGATATTTGTGTGGGTAAATCTTTTTCAGTGATAAGGTGGTGTTTTCATGGTTAGCTAGATAAGAGTCGTGAAAGAAGGCACTGTTTTAAATATCCTCTTGATTTTTTTCACTGTGGAAAAAAAATGCAGCTGTACTATGATTACAAACGCAGCGTCTGGCGGCAGAGTGGGGGTCCTCCGCTAACAGTTCATGCTGTCTTACAGGAAGAGATCTTTGATTAAGCTTTTTTGATTTCTCTGGCTTTTTACAGAAGGGAGCCATTTTTATAAAGATGCCATTTAGACTTGTGTATTTACTAATCTTCTTCTGGTCATACATGTGCCC